CCTGGGTTGTCGGCCGGGCTTATCCTGGACGGCGCAGAGACACATTAGCTGCCATTGTCTCGAAGCAATTGGCCAAGAAAGAGACATAAAACAAAACATACCGCCCTGCATATCCAAAACTGAGCTCGCTGACGAGGAAATACGCTTGAGCGGCACCGGCGCCCAAGAGGGCCGCCAGCGACATGGAGAATCGCATCGTGACTGAGGGAGGGCGGGGGTCTTTTCAGGCCAGGTTTACAGATGCAAAAAGCCCGGCTTCAGGTCCCAAAGCCAGGCACCGTGAGAGGGGAATATATAGAAACAATTGAACCGAAGAGTTGCAGCCGAGTTGTCAAGCGGGTTGGGAAAATAGCCAGAAGGACACTTTGCACTAGAGGCGCAGAGGCACAACAGCTTTGGAGCAAGTGCCTTTTTGCGAAACAGCGCCGCCGAGCTTGGCTGAAGCACAGACGAGAAGAATAAATAAACAAGAATGGAATTCGCTAAAAAGAGCAGAATATTCAACAAGAAGCGCGCTGAAGCAAACGAGAAGCGATTAACGTTGATATGCACATAAAATACACGGAGAGAGCATTATCTGGCTTCTATTCTCACCTTCTCCAACCATGGATCGTTTCATGGCCACTTACACAGCTGTGGCTAAATGTGGCGGGGGATGACTTCTGCAACGGCGCGCTAGTCCAAACCAGGCAGTATAAAAAAAGAAAGCGAAAAAAAGTACGACATGCCAACTATGGGGTAAATTGCAAGCTTGTTGTGGCTGCTTCGTACCTTAATCTCAGACAAGGCAATTTGTTCTCTGTAGCGCCAATCACCACCATCTCAGGACTTTGGCTTGCTTCTGTTCTCCAACTCCCTGCAGCAACACTCGAGATGCGGTAGCAATTCCGCCTACAGAATAGACACAATGGCAGAGTCGTTTCCTACGCTGACGCAATGCGCGCTGGTGGCCGCCGCATTCAAGGTGCTCCTGTTCCCGGCCTAGTAAGTTAATGCTCTACTGTACTCTAGCTGTGCTCTGCCCTGCTTTCACATGCATGCATGCCGCTGGAAGAAAGACGCGATGCAATGTTGACTGACTGAACGCTGGCTTGCAGCAAGTCGACCGATTTCGAGGTCCACCGCAACTGGCTGGCCATCACCAACAGCCTTCCTCTGTCCGAATGGTACTACGAAAAGACTTCGGAATGGACTCTCGACTACCCGCCCTTCTTCGCCTACTTTGAGTGGCTGCTCGCCCACGTCGCTCGCCTGGTAGATCCAGCCATGGTACGGGTATACAATCTTGGATATGATAGCTGGGAGACAGTTTACTTCCAGAGGTTCTCCGTCATCATCACTGAGCTTCTCTTGGTGTACGCCCTGCAAATGTTCATCGACTCGTCGCCTCTGCAGTCCAAGAGGGCTGCCCAGGTCGCCGCGCTGTCCGTCGTCTTGTCGCCCGGGCTGCTCATCATCGACCACATCCATTTCCAGTACAACGGATTCATGTACGGAATTCTCGTTGTGTCGCTGGTACTGGCCCGGTGCAAGTCGACGCTGCTGCAGAGCGGCCTCGTCTTTGGGGCGCTCCTCTGCTTCAAGCACATCTACCTCTATCTGGCGCCGGCCTACTTTGTTTTCCTCTTGAGGGCGTACTGCCTGTCGGCGAGATCGATTTTCCAGATCAAGTTCCTCAACTGCGTCAAGCTTGGCCTCGGACTTGCGGGGATATTCGGGGCTGCTTTTGGACCCTTTGCGCTGATGGAGCAGATCCCCCAGCTCCTTAGCCGACTGTTTCCCTTTTCACGTGGCTTGTGCCATGCTTACTGGGCGCCAAATGTCTGGGCACTCTATTCTTTGGCCGATCGTGTCTTGATTCACTGTGAGTGCAGACTGTTACACTGGAATGCGTGAAAGAACGAGGAACTGACTCGCAGTAGTTGCCCCAAAGTTGGGTCTGCCACTCAAGACTGAGGCTCTGAACAGCGTCACTCGTGGCTTGGTTGGCGACACGGCTTTTGCTGTCCTGCCCGAGATTACCCCTCGAATGTGCTTTGCCTTGACGCTCTTTTTCCAAGTCCTTCCCCTGATTAAGCTCTTCAAACGGCCTACGTGGGAAAACTTTATCGGAGCAGTGACGCTGTGTGGCTATGCCTCGTTCCTCTTTGGCTGGCACGTGCATGAAAAGGCCATCCTGCTGGTCATTATCCCCTTCAGTTTGATCGCCCTCAGGGACCGACGACACCTCGGCGCATTCCGGCCACTCATCGTCGCGGGTCACGTGTCGCTGTTCCCGTTGATCTTCACACCCGCCGAATTCCCCATCAAGACGATCTACACCGTCTTCTGGCTAGTCTTGTTCCTGACGTCGCTGGACCGCATGGCGCCAGCGTCCAACCAGCCAAGAGTCTTTCTTTTGGATCGATTCAGCACGCTTTACATTGCGGTGAGCATCCCGCTCATTGCATACACGTCCCTCTTCCACCATATCATATTTGGAAGCCGGCTCGAGTTTCTCCCCTTGATGTTTACGAGCTCCTACACCGCGATAGGCGTGGTTGGCAGCTGGGTCGGATACATGGTTGTGTACTATACATGCTAGAGCTGGTGCTATGAGAGGATAAAAAGTAGTGGGATATAGTGATACCCTAGTAGAGAAGATAGAACCGTTGAAACCAAATTTCGCTGTCTTGTTTGCCTGCTGCCAGAGCCCCGAACACGCCCGGATGCCGCGTCGCTTGAAGTGCGGCATTGAGGTGGGCTTAGTCATCAGGTAGGGTCGGGTAGTGGGGCGCTCCACGTGAGGCGAGGCTGACGATTCCCGTTTTGTGCTGAGCCAGTGGAACCAGGGTTAAGACTGGGGGGGCAGCATCGACAGGGAATGCGAACAAAGACACGCTGCCAGCATTGGGCAGAACAGCTTCAACAAGGGCAATGCCGTGAAGGGAAAACGGCGTCAATTGGCAGCAGGAGAGACTCTTGAGTCTTTTTTTCACAGGGGATGCGAATAGCCGCAGGCGGAATGACGTCAGGGCTAGCGCGGACAGTTGCCGAATTTGGAAATCAGGGACACGAACGTTGCAAAGGGAACGGCACCGACCAAAGGGCATTGACAGCTGGTATAATTGAGGCATGTGAATGATGTGTTGAGATAAACGGCACAGTTGATAGCCTATCATGAGAATTGAGTTGCGTGCATTGTTTGCATCCATCATGCTGACTTCTCGTGACCGTTGCTCGCTGGCCCCCTCAGAAAGAAGAGCGGCCCCCCCGAGCCAAAACCGCCCGCTACCCGGCCCCCGAACTTGGAAGACTGGACCACTACCTGCCGGCCGCTGATCCGCGCCGCGCACGTACGGGGGCATAAGTCGCTGAAAAATGGGCGGATGCGCGCCATTCAGCGTATTTTGGAATCGGTGAAATGCAGGGAACAAAATGAGCCCGAAAAAGGGCGTGATGTTATAGGTTGCGAGGTTGTTGTGGGCGGTTGATGAGTGGAGGGTTGATGGGATGGGTATTTCGGTTGTTTTTTTTTTTTCCTCGGGGGGATTTTTTTGGCTTGGCAGGTTGCAGGCTGGCGGCCTAGTTGGGTTTACTGTGGAAGGTTAGGTTCCCTTTTTTTTAGGAGGAGGAGGAGGAGAGGGGGGGAGGCGGATGGCCGGGGGTTTGGTTTTTGGAGAAGAAGGGGAGGGAAAAAAAGGAAAAAGACGGCAGACGGAGGTAGAGTGAGAGGACGGACCGGGGTGGGAGTGTCTTGGGTGGTAGGCAGCGAACAAAGGATTTGGCGCGGGGGGGTTGCGCGAGGAGCGGCGGTACGGGGAGGGTACATGGATGGATGGATGGGTGGGTGGGTGAGTAGGGGGGAGTGCCGGAGGGGAGAGGAGAGATGATGGGAGGTGAGGGTGAGGGATTTGGGGGATTTGGGGTTGATTATGACTGAAGGATGCAAATGAATTATTTTTTAGTATTATTTTGTTTTCTGGTTGGTAGGTTGAAGGATGTTGTTGAGGTGAGCGTTGATGCACCCAGCATGAAGACATATTCATTGGCTTATCCCCAAGGCATTCATCAAGGCAGCAACCATTACCTGTCAGCAAGACAACAAATCGAATTGGTACAAATAAAAGAAAGCATCTAATCTAATCTATTTTCTAAAGGTATCGATACCATGCACCAGCTTCACTGCCCGTCAATGTCACCCTAACTGCCATATACCGTACCTTGGCATTTCCCGACATGCAGCTATAGTAGGTACCCCCAAGGTACTCTGCACGCCCGCGGTACCGGCCGAGTACAACGCCAGGTACATGGACCGCTAAACGCTGGTGCTGGTTGACCGTCTCCACGGCGGGACGCATTTTCCCTAAGTGACTTTAGTTCCGTGGCAGCTCTGCTCGTTCTCCCGCGCAATTCTTTTTCCCTCCACGCCTCCGTTGCACGTCACTCGCCCTCAGTCGCGTCGAGATCGAGCCTTCACGCAGCTTCCACCACCGCCTCGCCATCCAGGAAATGCCAGCCCGGCGTCCTTGCGAGCTGCCCGGACCGCGTTTGCGATAGCTTTGAGAGGTGCAAGGCCGCCACAGCCTCGTGTAAGTGCGGCATCTGGTATCTGGTCTGCCCCGGCTCCTAGTTTCCAGGCACCGCGACTTTTCTTCCTCTATCTTTTTTTTTTCTCTCTTCAACCCTCAGCCTTGTCCACGCCTCGAGAGCTACAAACGCAGACACAATACTCAAGAACCTCGAACCGCAAGCTACGACCGGAATATCGAAACCATCAGCGAATCGGAATCTGCAGTTGTCGATTCCCCTTCACTGCATCCGCGCCTCGTCTTGCGCTTGGCCCGGATGCCTGTGCTGCCGAATCCCTCGATTAGATAACGCGCCAAGTTTCCGATATCCTTTGTCGCCTTTCTGCTCCCCAATTTTGCCTGCGACAAACTTCCTCCTTTATTTCTCTTTTTCTTTTCTCTTTCAACCCCATACAACCGCCACCTCCAAATCCATTATAGCTCACAATCATGGTATGCTGTCACCGCTTTAACCCACCAAAGCCTGTCCGCAGCTCACATTTATGCTACAACAGGTGCTATTCAAGAGAAAACCAGTGCAGTTTCTGCCTCCCGCAGAGATTGAGGATGACGATGCCGAGGTATGTCGAGCGTGGTCTGCATCACCGACGGCGTTGCTTCCGACGCGGGATGAAGAACGTAGGTCTGACTTGGAGGGCTCGTTTAGGTCTGGCACATCCCTCAAACGGGAGAAATATTTGCTTCTTATGAGGACTACTTGAATCGGTGAGTTTGTCTGTTCCTTCTTCTTCGTTTCTTTGACCGTTACCATTATGCGCCGCATGCTGACGATTTTGTTCTTTGGCTTCTAGAATGGATTTTTACAAGCAGGTAACCACCCTTCAAAGCCCCACCATCGCCGGCTATGCAATGAGACAAGCAATATACTAAACTCGAGATTTTCCATAGCGCCGCTTCAATGACGAAATCACGGGCCATTCAGGTCTTACATTTTTCGAGGCTTACACAAGCGAGGTTGGTTTGCTTTCTTCCTGGCACTGAATCCAATATGCCTGGCTTACTTACCTGGTCGTTCACAGCGTGCTGGTGGTCAAGAGGTCGAGGCCGCCTTCCCCGAAGCTCTCAAGGGCCCTATCCTCCGAAAGGTTCAATTCCAAACTATTTCTCGCCTCGATAACCTCGTCGATATGGTTTACGATGAATTCAAGGCCGATTTTTATCCCGGAGAGGATGTCTTTGTCACCCTGGACGAGTTTAACAATGAAAGACGGGCTTGTCTTGTACGAGAAAAGACAACTTTTGGTGCTAGAATCTTGCCGGATGGCTCAAGCTCTCTCCCCACAAGCCGCTATCTGGTCGTCCTCGGCGGTGGCTCTGGAAAGGAACAAGTCGTCACCAACGATAACCTGAGCCGTGAGCGCGGCGCCTTTACCAAATCCATGCTTCGGTCCTTTCTGAAAAGAACAGTCATTCGAGAGGCGTGGAACGGCGCCCCATGGCTCGTCAAGCACGACTACGCCAACCAATATCACATCGATACCAGGATCCCCCCTCACCTTCGGCACGACACTAAGATTCAGGAGCGCAAGCAGCTTCTGGCTCAGAAGCGTGAACGAAACTCAATACACGACGCGAATGGACACAGCCCAGCGGTGCAAACTGGCCCGGTGCGCCTGCCTGAGCTGAAACCCGCCCCCAAGAGTCACAAGGGAAAGCAGACTCCCAACAGTGCAGGGACCAAAGGCCTCAAATGGCCCACGGATATGGCACCCGACGGTGTCAATGGCGCTGGTTACCCGCGATTCAACGACGAACGAGCCGCTGCACCGCGTGAGCCGACACCTCCACCGCCTCCTCCGCCGCCGAAATACCCCATCGAAGATTTGCAGCTGGAGCCGAGGGAGGGCAATGTGCGGCCACAGCTCAAATTCATGTGTAAGGATCCTCCTGTCCAGATGGAAGTGGACGATGCCATCTCTCGCCAAATCGACATGGACACTGTGGGACCTCTCCTAGAGACATGGGACACGCTCAACGTTTACTGCGAAATCTTCAAACTCGACTCCTTCACCTTCGACGACTTTGTCGAAGCCTTGTCAATTGCTTCGAATAACACTCAAGTTCAGCTTTTCGACGAAATCCATTGCTCCGTGCTAAAGATTCTTGTCGACTCCGAATCCGACGGCGGCAAGGTGCGCATCACTCTGCCTGAGGTGGAAGAGGATGACAGCGACGAGGAAGGCGACGAAAAAGAGGATGGAGAAGAAAGCGGAGAAGAAAGCGTTGAGCTGGAGGATATTCCCGTCGCGAGGGCTACCCGCAGCAGTCTAGCAAAGCTTGAGGCGGAGAGGCTGGCTGCTGAAGCAGCAGCTGCCGAAGAGGAAACTCTTCGCGCAGAGCAGGAAACTAAAAATCGAGCAGAGGAGCTTTTGAAAGAATTCGACTGGATCGAGCATCTTCGCCAGCGAAATTTCCAGAACGGAGGCTGGCAGAGAATCATAGTTGGTCTTCTGCATCAGCTCTCCAAGAATGAGCGCCTGCAACAAGCCTGTGAGGAGCTTCTGCAGCAGTTGGTACCTGCAGAGATGATACCGTCACCAGAAAACGTGCAGCAGCAGTATGCCGAGATGGACATCAACTACCGCGTCAAGGCACTGCAGATCATTTGCATGCTGACAATGGAGACAAAGGCTGTCAGAGGTTACATGGAAGACTGCAGCGAAACCATGACCAAGTATCGCAAGGACAAGATCGAGTGGCAGCGACAACGGAAACAGGCGTAAGTTGACATGTTTGCACACGGTACAGTTCATCTCACTGACTTTTCTTCCTTTTACAGAACCGAAGAGCTCCGGCAACTTAATGAACAGCGTAAACTGTTGATGCCGGAAAACGAACCTGCAGAGGAGACCAACGGCACTCCTGTTAAGGAGGAGATAGACGTCAAGATGGCAGACGCTGACGAATCAATCGTGAGCAGAGATGAAGAGGCCGAAGACAGCCAAGATGAGAATTCTAAGAAAAAGCGTCGAAGCCGCGTCTTGACGGACAAGAAGAAGAAGCATGAGGAAGAGGAAAAGGCCAAAAAGGCAAAAGAAAAAGCATTGGAAAAGACGAAACCGCAACAGTCGAAGCAGTATATCAAGCTTCTCAAAGACATACAAAAGAAAGAGGAAATCATCAAGAAATGCGAAGAAGAAGTCGGCATCATCGACAACGATCTACGGGAGGCTGATTGCCCAAGAACTCGTGTCCTTGGGAAGGATAGGTTTTGGAATCGTTACTATTGGTTTGAGCGGAACGGCATGCCTTATGCCGGATTGCCTGACAGTTCTACGGCACATGCGGCGTACGCCAACGGATGCATATGGATTCAGGGCCCCGACGACCTGGAGCGAGAAGGATATATTGACCTGCCGACCGAGCTTCAAAACGAGTACAAGGCCAAGTTCAATATGACTGTCCCAGAACGGAAGACAATGGAGGAAGGCGGCAGCAGTGTTTTCAACGCCAAGCAATGGGGCTACATCTCGGAACCAGAAGACCTCGACCAACTCATCAAGTGGCTGGATCCTCGCGGCTTCAATGAGCTGAAACTACGAAAGGAGCTGGTTGCCTACAGAGACAGGATAGCCAAGCACATGGAGAATCGCAAAAAGTATCTTACTGGCGATGCCGAGGAGGACGAAGGCGACAAGAAGGAGGAGCCGAAACGAGTGAGCTCAAGGATCCGAGAGAAGACTCCTGACCCGCCCAACTACCGCTGCCTGCAATGGGAGAACACAATGGCTCTGGAAGAGCTGGGCCACTTGCATGGCGATCCACCGCCGCCTCCGCGATCCAGAAAGCAAACAAAGAAGAGGGAAGCCATGACCGAGGCTGCACCGAGACCCGCCACCAAAACGCGACGCAAGTGATGGAATATTTTGTTTGTGCCTTGAATACTGGGGCACTTTGGCCGCACCGACCATGGGGGACAAACGCCTTTATCCATATGCATATCCAAGCGGCTACATTAGCCACTGAGAGGTGTGAGCAGCAAGTTTGCAACGAGCTCTCTGTTCTACTACCGCTCAGTCTTGTCGAATATAACGCACCGTAACGACTGATTAGATGGCCCGTGTTAGAAATTAGACCGGAGTTGGGGAACCTACGCATGGAAAGGGCCGCCCTGTTTTGGTTTTTGTGTAATTTAAAAAGAAGAAAACTTTCCATTCCATTTTTGTTGTTTGCATGTTGCAAGGGTTTTGGCTGGGGAGGAGGGAGAGATGAAATAACTACTACAAAGGTATATACAACTGCAGAGGCTGGTGTTGGTTATAATCGGAAAAGGTCGATTGAAGAGAGCTGCATTGAAAGGTTGGTTGAAAGGTGTTTTTGGAGAATGTTGTATTGTATGGATATTGAGTGTATTTGAACTAGTATAAATGAATGCCATCTTGAGGCTTGACTGCCTAAATTAACTGATGTCTGCGTACATATCTTTGTTCTGTGAGGGAAGAGTTGATGTGGGCTGGATTGGAGTAGGCGTTGTGGTTCGTTTGATTGGCTTATTTCCTGTTGGTGTAGGGTTACATCGGCCTGCACTCTTTCGGCATAAACCCCTTTCGGAATCATATCGACAGGGGATAGCCCGCCAACAGAGTTTAGGGCTACGATACTCTTTAGCCACCAGATATTCATATAAGTAACAAAAAAGAATTAAAAAAAAAACATACAACAGCCGGTGTTCGCTGATGGTCACCCACTCAACTACTAATCTGCCGGTTAGAGGCTTGTCTATGGGGGAGCAGACGGGACCCCGAATTCTCCTCTACCTATGGTCGTATGTGCTAGAATCTGCAGCATAACAATTTGATAAAGGTAACAAGGCAAACCCGCCATCAGATATCGGCACTTTGCAGTCAAGGTGGCGTTGGAACTTTGTGGGAACAGTGCAAACCCAGACCCTGGATGGGCTCCTTGAGCTCTGCCAGCTGGGCTAAATAATTGATCGCCTTCGATTCCACAGCGAGCGGCGTAAACGAGAGAGGGTCTAGGAGCCTCAAAAAGAGTAATCTATCATGGCAGTAGACTTCTGGAGATTGATCTTCGAGCCTCCCAGATTCGTTTATGTTATAAGAAGCTAAGAAATGAGCTGTATGATGGTCGTATCAACTTCTCTGTGACATTTTCGCTGTTAGTAAGCCCTGGGGAAATAATTTCTCAACGATGCTACAACAACCTTCTGGTCGATATGCCTATCACGGAGAATATGTGACAGTTGAGGCTGGTTCATCAGGTCTCATCCAGAGGCGGTCAGTGTTTCGACGGTAAGTCAAAGATGCCTCAAGATTCTGGAGTGGGGGATGTCCTCCAACACCTAGAATGACGGTTCCTATAGGTGTTTAGCTCATAAATAAAGAGAAACACGTAAAGACCATAATGATGGCGACGTATGTGAGAATTCCTTGTAGAGTAATCTTATAGTAGGACATGGGAGACACTCTGGGAAGGAAACATGTCTGTTTATTACTGAGGAATAGTCACGTCTGCTCAAGCGCAGTGGTACTGCCCTTGAACCGGAATTTCCATCATTTCTCATCTTGTTGTGTATTTCCTCGGATACAGTATAGATACAGGGCTCTGCCTCCAATCAAGCCACGGGAACAGAATTTGGCTTTGCTATATACACCTGAAAATATATACCGGTCCGGTCCATCCGTAACATGAGCTGGCTCGTGTGCCACTTTTGTCTGAATCCTTTACCTCTATTTCCCTATTCTTATCCTTGGACTTGGGGCACTTAACACTGGACCGAGTAGCCGTGGGCGGTGCCAAAGCCACCCCAGCAAATACCAGTTGGCGAACCAGCAGGGATGCCGAAGCTGAAACCATCATTGCAGCCGCCCAACCAGATACGGAGATCGCATGAGGTGTCCGTTGCGAGGATGCTGTTGTAGCCGAAAGGCAGGACCGAGTTGGTGAGCACGCATCCGACACTGCCGGAGACACAATTGCTGAACTGGCTTCCTGAAAAAGAGCATCCTCCCTGCTCGAAGAAATTGCCCTGCCAGCTGCACGCTCTCTTCTCTAGAGAGGCATTCCCAGCGCCTGCAGTCGAGTTGGTTTCTTGGGAGGCGAGCGAGAGGGCGAGCGAGTCCTCGCTGCAAGGAACGGGAACAGCAAGTTGGAAGCCCCTGTCTGACTCGGTGGCAGGTACAGCGCTTGCGCAACCAAGAGCGAAGAAGAGAGTTGACTTGAGGGAAAGCATTGTTGCTGAAGTATGGAGTGTGGTGAGTTGATGCTGTTGTAGAGTGAAGTAGTGAATTGAGAGGCTAGCTTGGCAGTTGTAATGTAAAAAAAAGATGTAAATCGAGAAGAGATCAGCCCTTATATACATAGATAACTCTATGGGTAGGTGCCCGGAATTCACAGATTAATATGGAGAATATCATATCATCCTGACCCAACCGGCAGTTGAAAGATGCACTACAGAGTATAGTATAGTAAAGCTTAGGTGATAATGATGTAGGTAAGCAGAGGTATTCTTTATTATAGTCTAATTATGGTTAGACTAAGAGTACCGATATAGTTATGTTTTGTTGTATTGAGAGATACTCCATAGTAATGGAACTATCAACCCCAAGACTCGAATGATAAATTTTTGGAAGTAATCCCGCCAATTGGGTTGTTGAACGAAATGATTCACACCGCTGTTTATCTGCTGTTTTTTCTTATATGCCTTCCTATTATGTATACTTTCAAGGAGAAGACTGTCAGATGCTGACGACAGCGAGTGGAAATGGGCCAATCTGGTTGAATCAACTCAACTCATCCCCCACTCAACCTATCGCGTAAATTACCTATAATTAGTTAACTGCGTGTTATCCTACTAAACTATTAACCCATATTCCACAGTTAGACTATTAGTTACTTACTTTACAACAGCAGAATGTGGGTTAATATCATCAAGCTACATACAGACTTTGCTGAGCTCATTGGGACCCAGTAGAATACGCTTATTTTTGTGCTTATAGGATTAGCCTATAGGCTTACTCAACACCATGTGCTCCCCTCAGCAGCCAATCATTATGGTCTTACCTTGTCCAGATTTATAGGTGATTAGGTTATTAGTGAAATCAGGTATGTTTGTTTGTTTGTTTGTTTTATTATTAACGTCCACTAAGTAATCTAGTTACATAAGTCCTCATCTAGGCACTAGGACGGTAGAAGCCGCTGAGTTTAGATCGGGCGTTTGCTACGTTTTAATATAATAAAGGAAAAGGGGATGTATTAATTTATTTTACGTATCTGTTTCTGTAGGGGGGGGGCTGTATGGGCTTATGTCCTCCACTAGTTTTTGAAAGTCTTTATATCCTCCGTTACTAAGGAGGTATTAGATATAGGTGGTTCCGAAGCGTATCTCCCTCTCCGGTACATTAAGGAGGAAAAGGGCTACTATATAGTACTTTACGAAGTATCCTTATGTCCTTAGTTCTCTGTATTTATAGGTGGGCCTGGCGTTATATCTAAATCTCTTATAGTATTTTATAAAGTCCTTATATTTAGACCTTTTAGCTAATAGCTTATATAGGATTAGGTGTAGGAAATATAGTTTAGGGGGTATAAAAGGGGCTTTATAAAGGCCCTATCTACTAGCCTTATAGGACTTTAGGTAGTTACTCTTTTAGTTAGCGTCTTATATTTCCCTGTGTTTTTTTTTTATTTACTTTTTAATAAAGGTAATAGTAAAGTAGTTTTTTAAGAGGTAAGGGAGTTCTAAACCCTTTTTTACTAGTCGGTCGGCTTTTTCGTTTTCTAGTATATCTTTATAGCCTAGGACCTAGGCTACCCTTATAGTTACCTATAGGAGTAGTTTTTAGGTGATTTAGCGTAGCCTTATATAGGCTCCTTAGGATAAGGCGGGAGTTAGCCTTAGTATTTTATCTACTACCGCTAAGTTATCTAGGAAGAGTAAAATCTTTTAGATATCTAGGTTTATAAGGGTGTGCGTCCTGGCTAACTTTATAGCTTTAAAGGCGTCTACTGCCTTGGTGTCGTAGACCTTTATATTAGCGAGAGGACTATATATTATAGTTCTTTTAAAGTTATAGTATATAACAGCTCCCTAGCCTATATTATCTTATTTATCTTATAAGCCGTCTAAGTAAGTAAGGAAAGTAGACCTAGGGAGGCCGTTGAGTAGTTCTAGGTATTTTTCTACTGCCTTTAACTTTAGTAAGCCTCTAAAGTCTAGGTCTGCTTAAACTGCTTCGTTGTTTTTAGTAAAAAAAGAAGGTTAAACTATTTTCCCTACTAGGGCTGCGGTATATTATAGTTAGGTAAGGGGAACCTTAGGCAGGAGTTTTTTATTAATACGTCTGCTAACTAGGTGGTTCCTGTTTAAGCCTGCGAAGTAAGCTACTGTATAAAGTCTAGTCTATACTACCTATACTAATGCTAGGGGGACTTCTAATTCTCTGTATATAATAGAGAGGTTAGTCGTCTTTTACACAAGGACGACTACTCTGGCTGCTGCTTTAAATAGGGGTTCTAGGATTATAGTTAGTCCTGCTAAGCCTGTTCCTACTTATTTATTTAGGTTTATTATACTCTATCTACTTTCGCCGGGCTAAAACGCCTCCGTCCTATATAGGGCTATAGGGGTAACGTAGGCCTTAGCTACTATAGCTATTGTATTTGGCGGGGATCTTTTTTATATTTTATTTAGGGATTTTAGGAAGTTAGCTGTTTTAAGGGCTTTCCCCTTTATAATCCCGAGGTATTTTTTAAAGGAAAGCCGTAAGTTTAGGTATATCTTTAGCTAATAGACTAAGTCTTAGGGGGCTATAGTCTTTCTTCTAAAGTCTACTTCTTTATTATATATTTAAGTTCTAGTCCTATAGAAGTATATAAGTTTAGCCTTATTTAGGTTAAAGAAGACTACGTTCTTATTACCCTAGTTTAAGGTATTTTTTAATTCCTATTAGAGCTTTTAGGCGGTTTCTTTAGTATTAGCCTTTATTACTATAATACTAATATTATTTATATACCTAAAGCAGGTGTTAGGGTCGTTAAGCCTTAGGCTAGGGGAGAAATAGAGTATAAAGATAATAGGGGAAATAGGGGACCCCTATAGGGCTCCGTATTCCAGCTCTATCTTTAGGAGGGTAATTCTATAGCTGTTTTAGATAAAAGCCTTACGGTTACTTATAAAGGAGTTAACCTATTTTATAAAAAGGGGGGGCTACCCTTATTCCCTAAGTTTATAAACCAGGCGGTTATATATAATAATATTAAATACATTGGAAATATTAAGTATAAGGAAGGAAATAATAAGACCTTAGGCTAGGGCGACTTTAGTATTATATAGCAGGCAGGTAACTAAGTCTATTATAAACCTTTTTAAAAGAGCCCTGAAATATTATTCTAGCAGTATTTTATATTCTATTGCTAAAAAGGAAACTCTTTTAGCTAGGAGTTTTTTAAGGCTTTTACCTATGTAGGAGAGTAGGGAGATAGGTCTATAGCCTTTATATATAGTATATACCTTCTCCGGCTTCCTAAGTTTAGGGATAATAATAATCTCCGCGCTTTAAAAAGGGAGTAGGTAGTATTCTATTATTAAACATCTGCGGAAAAGGTTAGTTACGTACTTGCTGATAGTAGGCTAGGTAAGCTGTAAAAGGGTGATTAATATACCGTTTATATTAAGCGTAGTGTTTCTTAACCCTATTATAGCTTTCTTAGTCTTTGACTTTAATACTGTTTAGTCCTAGTAGATATTATTATTAATGGGAAAGTCCTTTTTTTATAGGTTTAAGATATCCTCCTTTATTATCTTATGCTTAAGAAGTTTATCTTTAAGGAAAGTTACTTTCTCCGTAGGGTTTAAGATACTTTTATCTTTATTTATTAAGGGGGGCGGTTAAAAGCAGTCTATTACCTTACGTTACTTAGCTACTAATTAAATATTCTTAGTAGCGCTAGCTTTTATTATAATCTTATTTTAGTGGGCTTGCTTACTGTAGTATATGGAGTCTTTAAGGGTCTTACGGGCTCCTTTTTAGGCAGGGGAGCTATCTGCTGCTTCTTTATAGGCTTTATGGGCTGCTTTATACTTTTCTAACTACTATAGTATACTATGGCTATTCTAGTGTCTGGTTTTGCTAGCCCCCTTTATAGCTTATTTAAAAAGGTTCTACAGGGCCTTAGTATATTTATTAAGGTTAGTTTCTAATAGTATAGTTAGGTTAACTATAGGAAGGGTTTAAGCAAAGGAGTATATAAGTTAGCTAAAGTCTTCCTAATATTTTAATAGGATATATTTTTTCCCTGCCCCTAGGGTTATTCTAAGGGGCTTAGGTAGGTTTATAATTACTATATAGTAGTCTAACCTTATATTAAGGGAGTATTTAACCTTAGTTAACGTAGGGTAGTTTATAAAGACTAGGTTAATGTATTTTCCTAAGTGTTAGGTAGGCGTGTTTATTAGAGCTGGGAGGAGATTATACTTTTCCGCCTATTCTGTAATTTTATTACCTACTGGGTTTACGCCTCTGCTTAATTCCTAAAGTTAGTGTAAGGTATTAAAGTCGCCTGTAATAATTAAGCGGGGGGGGGGAGGGCCTTATTTAGTAAGGGTTTCTGTAGCTAAATTTACTAAAGCCCTTTAGTAAACGTTAATAATAGTATAATTATATACCTTTATTTAATATATATATTTATTTTCTAAGCCTAGGGGAAAGAGTTATTTACTAAGGAGGTTTAGGGAGATTTTAATAAATATAAGAACTAAAGGTTTAGTATCTTTTTAATTATTTAGGGGGTTATATACTTAATATCTAGGGTAATTTTTAATTTACCTTTTATTTAATACCCTATTTTATTAAGCGTAGGGTTCCTAAATTAATATAATATTATAGCTACTTTTTTATATTAATAATAGGGTAATATCCTAATATAAACTGCTTTTCTTAACGTTAGCTTAAAAGATTTTAAGGCTAATGTTTCTTTAGTAGCTGCAACGGGGTCTATTGTTTATAGGCTTATGTTAAAAGGTCTGTTAATTCTGGGGGGAGCGTTAAGTATATTTTTATCCCCTTTAGCCCCTACGTCCTCCTTTTTACTATTTAGGTCGGCTACGTAAACTGCCGACCTAGCGGGGGAGGCTCCTTTATAAAGATCCTCCTTATCTAAGTTAACTTTAATTATAACTTTTTTAGCTAGGGCCTAAGGGGGGAAAGGTAGTGTTAAGCTAGATATTAGTAGATGTAGGCGGGGGCCCGTTTAGGTCCCTGGGTTAGTTATTTTCTTAGTATTAGAGGTTAGGGCGGGGGTGGGTTTAGGTTTAGGTAGATTAGCCTTATTATACTTCTGCTGGCCTAGCTCCTAGATAGCCTAGAGTTAGGCTCTGGTTATCTATACCTTTTCTCTATTCTTAACGACTGGTCTAGTAAGGTACTTTAGGGAATCTGCTGTATAAGGGCCGTTATAGTTAGTATACTAGGGGGGGGACGGGTAGTTTACTATAGTATTATTATATTTGTATAATAGCTTACTATATTTAAGGTATCTCTTAGTCTTAGTGTAATTCCAGGGGTTATAGAAACTAAGGTATTGCTGGTATTAGGTAACCTAAGGCGGTTGGACCTAGACTTTAGCTAGGTAGGAGATATTAAAAAGTCTAAAGCTGGGTTTAACGTTTTCTTTAAAAAAGATAAAGTAGCTATATATATTAAAAAATTCCCTAAAGGGGGCCTTGTAGTAGGCCGCTAGTAGGTTTTTAACCCCAGCCCTAACGTACACCTCCTTAGGGATTAGCGCGTCTATAGTATAAGTCCTGCTTATGTCTGTATAGGTTTTCGGTACGCTATATATAAGGAAGACCTTCTATATATATACTTTTTTAATTTTTAGGTTATTACTTTCTGCAGCTAGCTTAAGGGTAATAATTTTATTTTTGGTATTTTAGTCTTTTACCTAAAGAGCGAAGCCTAACTAGACTTTTTAAAAGTAGGTAATATCCTTAATGCTAAGTTTTATAAAGCTAATTAATTCTTATTTAATACTAATAGCTATTATTTTTTTTTAGTTATAGTCTGGCGGAACCTGGATAAAGATGCAGTCGTTAGGCTTCTGGTTGCTTAATATAGCTTTATCTTTGTTTTATTTTCTATTAGCGAGGGCTGGCCTTTTACTGCTAAGAGTAGGATTCTTTTAGGTATTATTATCCTTTTGCGGCTTTTTATTATAAGTGGTGTTCTGCGACGCGACCTATGCTTACGTAACCTTAAGGTCCTTTTAGCCTACTTTTCCAGTAGCTGTAGGAGCTTTTATTACAGTAGGGTACTTAAAGCCGTTTAATTTATCTCCCTTACTGTAGTATATATTAGCTAACGTTATTTTAATTAGTTAGGTAGTTTTTTTTTTACTATTTAATTTCTTAGGGTTTTTAGGCCTCCCCTTAGGGTTAATATAGGAGGTAATAAAGTTTTTAAGTATAGTGTTTAGGTATAATTAAACTTATTTTACTACTATTAAAGAGAGTTAGAATAAGTATTATACTAGGCAGAAGTTAATAATTATAGCTATATTTAATACTACGTCTTATTTAGCCTGTTATTATACGTTAATTTTATTAATTTAGCTTATAATTTTATTCCTGGTAAGGGATTTTCCTTTTTTACTTAGGTCAGTGGCTTCCTTTACACCGCTGAAAATAGAGGTAATAAGGCCTTTTAATACTGTCTGCGCTGCGGTCGTTGTTGCTGCTGTACTTAGTTTTGCCTTGTTAAAGCTGAGTAAGGGCATTTTATCTATGCTAAGGGCTTCTTTAAAGCGTCTCTTCTTCTTAGGGGTAAAGGGGAGGACCGTAGCCTCTCCTATTTTTGGGCCTAAGGGGGTTACCTCCTTCTGGGGTTAAAAAACTATTGCGGGTCCGGGGGCGACGGGGTTTATTCTATTCTAGTTATCCGGAGGTTTTACAGATGTTTTTATTTCTCCAGAGTCCTCAGATGGGACCGTAAATGAAAAAATCATAGTCGTTTTATCTAATAGCTAGTTAAACAGGTGGGAGTTTTTGGTGGTTAGGCACCCAAAAGGTGGGGTACCTGTAGATGTAGGAGGGAAGCTTGTGAAATCAGGTATTATTTGGTGGCCTGGGCTGACTGCATGTTTAAGACTTTCTGACAACTCAATAGTCGGAAAGTCTCATCACTTTGGAGTACACATCTGCAATAACGGAACATCGGCGTTAGTAGGCACATATAGTGTAACGGGGCGTCGGCATTATTATTACTTCCGTTACGACCTTCCCTGACTGCATGAAAGTAAGCACGGAAAAAAGCTTAGACCTGGCAGCTGGTAAGGACAGTAGTGCTCTTACAGTATACCCTGTCTGTTGGGCAGGCTTTTCGTAAGTCCCTCCCAAGGATCTAAGCTCGTTGTACCGCCTCTAAGTGGGTTTAGGGCACTTATGCCAGGATATTTGGTCTCTTATATCTCGTTTATCCTTTTATACAGTCCTGTGGTCTCTACTTCGGCCAGGAAAATGGTTACTTCCTTTAGGCCGAACTAAGTAAGCTAGAGCATCTTCTTTTCCCCCTTGCTGTTTATCTGCTCTTTTGTAAGCCCGCACTCTGCCAGGTTCCCACATTTGCATTGGCTGTGTATGCTCTTGTGATTAAAACGCCCGTGGTAAGTTTCATAGTCGCCTGACCTGGCCTCTCTGTTATCAGCAAGGTAGTATTCTTTTTGGGAGCTTGTGCCTGGTTGGTTTATTTATCTCTTCTGCTGGCTTGTCCAGCTATTCTTCTAATTCTAGCAACTGTTGCTCTTTGGCCAGGGATTCTTCCGGCTCTATGCTTTTCTTTTGGAGCCAGTCTACTACCTCAATCTCTTCTACTTCGTTATGGCCTGGGGCCCAGGCTATGTATGTGGTGATGCTCTATTACTGAGGGGAAGTTGCTGCTTGCCTGATAAGAAGGACTCTCTATTCTCTAAAAGCTTCTCTGAGTATGTCACGTAACCCCATAAAAGACTCTACTTTACCATAAGATCTTGCACTGAACTGCGCTGAGGTCAAGAGCTTCTCCAGCGCAGCTGTCGAGATATAATGCGTACTATAATTAGAAGAGGCGGGCCCGTTTGATGGTGGGCATACGACAAGGGGGATATGTACGGACTGCGAGTAGTGTATGAATTACATCGCCTCTCCTACCATAGTAGCTAGTGATACAGAAATATTGCTATGTAAAGTTATTGGTCACGTAAGCTCAGAGTAGGTCAGGTATGCTCTGATCGTAATATTGATTTCACCACGGCGAAAATGGAATATAAGGCGACTTGGTAAGGAGAGGGAAGGCAATACATCAACATCCTTATACATATATGAGTTATACGTGAGCTTCTGCCTTCACATAAACCGTCGGAAGCGCCAAATTTAGCGCCTTGAGCTAAAAAAAAAAAGGAAGAGGTCCAATTCAAGAGAAGAGCTTAACGGGACCCCGAATTCTTCTCTACCTATGGTCGTATGTGCTCGGTGATGCGTAAGTGCAGGCTATAGCCCCAGTAGAGACACGTATTGTTTGGATTTCTGTCAATACTGAGATTTAGTATATCATATTACCTGGTTGTTCATTTCCAGAGTATGATATTGTCCTTTGAAGAAAATTCGTCCAGTTCGTCTAGTGATCCAAACGCATCTACTAGATAGATCTTTGTGGGCCATGGTTGTGAGATTCCAACCGACTCCACCTTTTCGGCCATGTATAATCGAAATGATGTAATTGAGCCTGGTATGCGACAACTAAATTCATGTACTAAACGCCACAGAAGCTCTAATTTATTTTCACAGTTATTCTCTGTCCTGAATTCAGTCTGTATCGCTGATGGAGATCGAATATCATGATGATTACAGCAGTGGATACATATACATGTGGATCTCAGTGTAAGTTAGAACATTCCAACGTCCCTTCTCTTTGTAGTGTCCTCCACCACGAATACATGTACTTACAGTAAAGATAAGAGCCTAAAGGATTATTATTTTACTAGTTGATGTTGACCTTTAGGGTGAAATCTTGCACCTCGACTGCCCTAAGGTCTTATTGGGCCGCATGTACGCTAGGCATGGTAATAGAGAAGCCTGGATACAGGTCGAGGGAATTGATTTATACATCAGCTTGTATTTGAGCTCATAATGAAGGTAGTTGGCATAAAACGAGGATACAAGCACTGCAGTATTTTCAAAGGAGTGGAATTGACCTTTTCTCTCTCTCTTTTTCTCTTTTAGTATCTGCTATTATAGCTACATTTCTCTAGTATATGATGATACCTCTAGAATAACCTGTTAGATTCGCCTCGACCTTCTCCTGGGCTTCCTACCATCGGTCATATCTATCCTGTATTACATCATATTCTTCGTATTTCAGAAAGAGGGGAATCTGGTTGGGTATCATAAGGTATCTATGCCTTAGGCCTTACTGCATTGATGTGCATGTGGTTTGTCATATTTCTCTTATAACAAGAGCCGTACTGGGCACATATAGAGCTAGATAGATGCTTTGACATGCAAATTGAGTGTCTTGGTTGGCGCGCTGTGTAATGTGCTCACTCTCTTGTCCTGAATTTTATAGACTATGAATTAGGTACAATGCCAACGCATAAATGCAGCGATAAGCCCAACGGCGGGTTTGATGCCTGAAACCCCCGAGTTCAGTCATAATACATAAATAAGTGCGGATTAATAACAAGCACCAAGTCTAGAGATCTCTCTACCAGCCAACAGTCAAGTCTCAAACATTTTCCAATCACCCATTCTATACACCATATTTCATTGATCATGGCATCTGCTATTATCAGTGTAATCGGCGGCGTCCTGACCATCGTCGATGCTGTCCAAACAATCCGGGGCTGGGTTGTTGGCGGTGCTCCACAAGTCATCACATTCAGGGAGCTTCAGGAAGTTGTCCAAGGCGAGCACGCTGCCTTCTTCCAGGTCATAGCCCTTGGCCGACTGGACTATCGCTATCGGCGTTTCTATGGTGTTTGGCTCCCGGCCCTCACAAGCATGTCTAGCATAACGTCGCAAAGCTTCGAGTCTGGCGAGGTCCGCGATATCTTCAACAGCATCAAAGAGTCCATCGATGATGTGGACCTGACGCTCAACCTACTAAGGACCGTATATGAAGAGCGTTACAACGTCTTGCACATGGACGATGTCACACGCGGCTTCTTCGCTTCTCTGAGCGGATACGGTCTTCTCTTCCATATGCACGGTGTGTACTCCCAGCTGAACCGCCTTCGACTTGGCGCGGTTGATTTGGAAGACAGACGACTTGTCCTCGATTCCCTGAATGGGCTTCAATACATCTATGATGCTGCAGGGCTCATTGGATGGTTTGGAAATAACAACATCATTCAAAACAAGCGGATGGGGCTTGTCCCCGAGCAAGTGACACACGTCAATTCACTATTCTGGCAGTACTGGAACTATCAGGATCGATATACCCCTCTCAGTAACGTCTCGCCAAACCTTGAACTCTCCGTGGCTAGGCCGCCTGCATACTATGAGCATAACGAGATCAACAAGGTCAGAGACGCTTTGCGAGACCGCAGAGCTAGGGTAGATGAGCGAGTGAGATCCGTTGTCTTCAACGTGTACTCCCCCATATGGTGGAGATTTGATCGAACGAGAACCATTTTGCAGGCGAGAGCTAGAAGTCAAGGGGCCACCCGAGTTGTACCACGCAGGCGACCTGTGCGCTCCATTCGCGGTTCGTCAAGAGCGGCGCTTTTCAGTGTTATAGGGGACAGTATTGATGATATGGGCAATGAGGACGAGGTGGCAGAATTTGAGGAGGGTGTAGGTGGATTCAATGCTGGAGGAGAGCCCGAGGATCCCGATGCTCCAGATGGTGACCCTTTCAGCATCACTGCTCCTGAAGTTGTCTCAGACGCTGAAGAGAACAAGTCAGCTGATAGAAACATAGCCTTGGGCAGCGGTCAACTTGAGGAAACAGCCAAGCTCACAGTCTATGTTTCATAGCGTCTCAATCAATGGAGTCTGTCTCATTGATCAGTGTTGTCGACCCCCTAGTTACAAATTTGCCGCTTGTTATATTCTCTCTGTCTCTCGTGATGAATCTCTATGATGCTCTTTTCTGCGATTTCATCGGCCTATTGTCTACAACGGCTTCCCTTATTAGCAATCGGTCCTTGTGTACTCACAATGCCGCGGATACCTGCGTTCATCATGAGTAGCCGTTGATGAACGGAGATGATGGGGACAATATATGATAAATATATATCGAGTTTCTTTCACCTAGATAGTAGCGGCATTGAAGGTTTAGATAAGATAACGGGAGATACTCGTTGATTCAATCTAAGCGCTCTAAGTGCGCGATATACATTAAGCTCAAAACTAATAAAGTTGATAGAGCGATAAGTCATTGTCCAATCTCCTCTAATACTTCCGATAGTCTTCTGACCCTTTCGCAATCAGCTCCAAGAACAGCGCGAAGACCGTGATGTGCACGAAGATAATATTGCCTGGCGTTTTGCAATTTTCCTTGTTTATAACAAACATCTCCAAACCACTCAAGACAGTCCAACGTGGGGATGTGTGTCTCAATAGCACGGGGCCCCAGGGCTTTCTCAAAACCTTGAAGTGCTCGCTCATGCATAGCTTCAGCTTCGTCGAATCGGCCTTGTTTAGTGTAGAGATGGCCCATGTTATTGACTATTTCAAGTGTTGAAGTTTTCTCTGGTCCTGATGCCTTCTCAAACCCTTGAAGTGCTTGATTAAACATAGCTTCAGCTTCGCTAAGTCGGCCTTGCTTAGTATAGAGCTGGCCTAGACCGCTGACGATTGCGAATGCCATAGGATTCTCTGGTCCCGATGCCTTGGAGCTCTCAAACGCCCGCTCAAGTATATCTTTAGCTTCGCTAAGTTGGCCTTGTGTAATATAGAAATCTCCTAGGCTCTGGGCTGCCAAAAGTGTTGATGGATGCGCTGGTCCCAATGCCTTCTCGTAACCTTGAAGTGCTTGCTTACACATAGCTTCAGCTTCACTAAATCGATCCAGGCTCTTATAGAGACCTCCTAGGCTCTGGGCGGTCATAAGTGTTGATATATGCTCTGGTCCTAATGCCTTGTTGAAACCTCGAAGTGCTTGCTGAAGTGTGGCTTCAGCTTCATCGAATCGATCTAGGCCAATATAGATATCTCCTAGATGCTTGGCTACTTCAAGTGTTAATGTATGCTCTGGTCCTGATACCTTCTCAAACCCTTCAAGTGCTTGCTTCAATAAAGCTTCAGCTTCAGTACATCGAAACAGGGCCATATACAACATTCCTAGGCTGTGGGTTGCTGAAAGTGTTGATGTATGCTCTGGTCCCAATACCTTTTCAAACCCTTGAAGTGCTTGGTTTAATAAAGCTTCAGCTTTATCAGCTTGAAACTGATTTTTATAAACAAGTCCTAAATTAAGGACTGTTTCAAGGGTTGATGTATGATCTAATCCCCATGCTTTCTCTTTCCCTTGAAGTGCACGCTTAAACATAGCTTCAGCTTTATCAAGTTGGTGTTGATCAAGATAGATAAGTCCAAGATTGTTAACCGTGTCAAGTGTTGATATATGCTCCGGTCCCAATACCTTTTCCTCCCCCTGAAGTACTCGTATATATGTAACTTCAGCTTTATCAAGTTGGCGTTTGGCAATATAAACAAACCCCAGATTATGAAGTATCCTGAATATTGATGGATGTTCTGGTTGTAATACTTTTTCAGAGCCATGAAGTGCTCGTTCAAGTAAAGCTTCAGCTTCATTAAGTCGGCCTTGATCTCTGTAGACCACTGCCATATTGCTGACTGTTTCAAGTGTTGTTATATGCTCTGGCCCTAATACCAATTCTCTTTCTTGGAGTATTTTCTTATATATGGCTTCAGTTTCGTTAAGTCGGCCTTGATAACGAAGGGCTTGTCCCAAAGTGTTGGCTGCGTTAAGTGTTGATGCGTGCTTTGGTCCTAATGTCTTTTCGAGCCCTTGAATTACTTGGTTAAGCAAAGCTTCAGCCCTGCTAAGTCGATTTTGATCGGTATAGAGGAAACCTAGTGATTGTAATGGCCGTAGGTCTTTATCTTCTATAAGCATGGTACTGATTAAGTCATAGCATCGATCCGCATGCCCTAGGAGCTGCCGTTGCTTGGACTAGAACTTAGGTTGTTCCTGGTTCGGGATATGAGACTCTACGTAATTAAGGGCTGCGTGCGCTATATTATTGTTAGATTTCTGATTAAGAACGTTAATTATCCAGGAGTGAACGTAAGCATGCACGCTATACCCAGTTGACTTTGTAATCTGCGATAAAGTAGGTGTACCAGCCTGCGCAAGCCCGTGATCGCATAGTAACCCCATTATCGTATGAAAGGGGATTCTGTCTTTTGTCAGATCTTGAAGCTAGTCTAGTTTGTGTGATCGACCGCTCTGCAGTAAGTTATACTATAGGTCTTTACTATTGAAATAAGCCTATTGGTGAAGCAGAAGAGATGCAGTTGAATTTTGCTCCTGAATATGTTTATGTGTGATGTCCTATGTCGTATATAAGACTTTATCATAAGATTCTAGGTCTTTAGTATTTTTGTGCAACTCCACCTAAGACTTTTTATAATCCTGAAGGTATTTGGTGTAATTTATAGGCACTTGTCTTAGGTAAGCCCCAGCTGATGCAAGGGCAAGAGGAAGCCTATTAAGCCGCTTCGCAAGATCGACAGCTGCCGGATCTGTTGCAAAAAGGTTAGTTCAGTCTCTTCTTCCTATAAGAGCCAGGGCGACATACCGTCAATTATATTACGGCCCGAGTTTGAGGCTAGAATCTCTAGACAATCATCGAGACTTTTCAATTTGCTTATTTTAATCGGCCGTCCTAACTTCCTTGACGATACTCGACTGGTTATAATAATGGTGCCATGGTCGGCCTTAGGAAAATATTTGCGAATATCATAAGACTGCGATCTCACCTCCTTCTCTTGGCCCCTGAGATTCATGGAGACAGTAATTTGGCCAGAGATACCCAAGAACTCTTCGTCCTCAGTATGAGCGTTATCCAAATCGTGATAATCATAGTTATCATAAATAATCAACCATGATTTGTTGGCAGGCTTATCTAGCCACCTTTTCACTGCATTTAGAATAATGCTTTGATCTTGGCTGTCCACAGCAGTCTGAATGTAGGTTACTTGCTCTTTCTGAAGGATTTGTTCTGCTAATCGGGTGAAGCTTTGATTTATCGTTGTTTCATTTCTCGCCTCCAGCCAAATCTTCGTGGAGTAGTGTTCATGATGCTGCTGAGCATACTCAAGTGCCAGCTGCGTCTTGCCTATACCTCCCAATCCATGAAGAACAACAGCCCGACGACGGTGGGGCCGAACTGTGGGCTGAAGAGCCTCTTGCATTTCCGTAAGCTCTTCTTTTCTTGCAATGAACTTTGAAATTTGACGAATTCCGGGTAAATATGACTGGAGATCGAAAGCAGTTGGTTTGATAGATGTCCTTGATTGAATGTAAGCTATAAATGCGACAAAAATTCCCTAACCAGAGCTCACGCTTACTCCTCTTCTATCTCGGTAGGCATGTGGAAAAATAACCGTCTGGCATAAGCCGCAGCCGCCGCCGCCGCAAAACCATGCCAGTTGTTGTTCTTGTGGGAGTCGCAGTAGTCGGAAATGCCTTGAATAACTAAGCAAGGGAAATCGGCAAGTGCCCCTGCGGCCTCCGTCTTAAAGCATAGGAGGTTGTACTTTTGTGCTAAGAAGTCCCTCTTCTTTGCATCCTTGATCACTAGCTCCCCGGATGCTATCGTGCCTTGATGTACAACAATAAAATACTTATCGTCTTCTTCCACTGGTTGTTCGATCCGCTGCTCCGGGTTGCAACCTCCTTTCTCGCAATTCATTCCTATCTGTTGGTGGTTGTAATCTGGCTGATAAAGATGATCGTTTGCGATGCCTGGGAATTTGAAGTGCTGCAAACCTCGACGTTGCGACCGGATCCTCTGCGTGTTCTCCTAAATGGGATTATTGTCTGACCTGCTTTGTTCTATAGCTAAAGCTTGTACAGCGTTCAGGAACGCAGCAGGCGGGGGTATGAGAGAGCCGGTGCGCTTAATAAAGCCATCTATTGCCTTGCCGTAATTATATTGTATTGCTCCAGAGTGTTCGCCAGTCGGCTTACTAACGACTACATACCCTAGTTGAATTATTCCGTTGTCTGTTTCTACCGGCACGCCACCGCTAATGCCAACTAGTAAACTATATCGAAGTTTCTTAAATATTATCCTTATTTGTGTAACAACTACCGCCGTAGAGCAGTTGCCGGTTTAGGGAAGGCCGGCGATTACAACATTATAGCCATGGATGCTGCTGAGCTTGTAAACGTTGTGGTCGGTAGGGGATTGCTTAAGAGGCTGGTGTTCTTCATCTAGCATCTCCATCGCCGCAGTCTGTTTAACTTCTAGGGGACAGATCTATCCCACTCGATAGTCGTCGGCTGCGAGCTTTTTCAGGGACATCGTTAGTGTTAGCCAGACGGCGATGAGATTACAGCACTGGAGCTTCGGACGTATGTGTACGCGTTGTTGAGTAGATGGGTAATTAATGATTGGATGACCAGAGGGGATGGTAGGGATTCCCATTTAAAAAAGTCACCTCTATAAGCGACCTCAAGCCGGGAGAGGTTGAGGCTCTTTGGCCGCGCTCCAGGCGCCAGCCTCGTGAGAAGTGCATATCACCGGTTAATTAGATGCACTAGCGTGACTTGAAAAGTGCATGGAATTACATAGCATTGAAATATTCTATAGCCAATAAATGCGAAGTTTAATGATATGGATGCCGCAGCTATGCAGGTTGGGTAGTATAGGAGGACTTGTGGAGGGTGGAAATCCTTCTGCCTTTTTTTATGCCTTTTATCCGGTATCTACGGAGTAGAGCCCACTGGGCAAATAATTGGCTGGCCGTACTCCGTAGCCTTGTTTTGGCGAGCCTGATGGCTTGGCAAGTTATACATGAAATGGTGCTGCAAACTAGGCATCAATATCACGGCCTGAGCCGAAAAGAAAGGAGATGCGTATTTGTTCGGTAGACTTACAACAGGAAGTGGGCGTGGGACTTGAAGAAGAAGAAGGAAACAAGAAAAAGAAAGACAAGACAAAATTTTGGCGGAGTATTACCTAGCAGGATGTATGTTCAAGCTTGCATATTAAAAGGGAAGAAAGGAGTGATGAGTAGGTGTGTATGTGTGTATTCCCGTAGAGTCAATGGGATGCCTTGTCGCTTGAGGCTCAACGCTGGCCCGGTCCTATGCAGCTCAATCCTAAAAGAGAAATTCGGCCGACTGCAAAAGGGTGGAGAGGATACAGCGCGTGATTGTCCATCACCATTAGCGCAGAGTTCCTGTTCCTCTGAAACATGGATGTGAGGCTATATTTAGAGTCTTTGGCGTAGATAGGTCTCTGCTGATATATATGGTCCATCATAGCGGTCGCGTATCTACGCAGTGATCAGTGATGAGTCTTAAGAATATCATCTTTATATCTGAAGAAATTAGATGGAGCAAATGTAGTTCTTATTAAACTGCTGCTGCGTGGGTACAACAGCCTGTGGCCGTAGAGCACCAATGTCTTAGCCGTTGTAACCATTGTTGTATGTGGTTGATCCCAAGAAGCACATCTACGGAGCAGTTAATACATCGTTGATCTTGGTATTGGCTTAGCCTGGCATGACAAGAGAAAAGAGGTCACAAAGCTTGTCTTAAACCAATATACACGGTGAAGAAGGAAAATGAAGGACGTGTGGCTGCATTTTTAGAACACCTGGGTGCAAGAATCAAAAGAGATTGAACGGCGGTAAAGAATACGAAGAGATTGCATATATTCTAATGGATATTGTCGTATGGACTGATGATAAGAACACTGACATTAAGTTCACTAGAAAATGTGGTTAGGGAAGTAGCCGCAGAAAAGGCCCGGCGAGAAGACGTTCGATGACGAAGAAGATGATGGATCAACTCGACGCGTGCGATAGTCAAGGCATTTGTCAGCCTTGGATTTGCTTGAACGTTGCTTGTATTAAAGTTTGTAGACAATGCAAATTCGGCCTTCGCGTTGGTTGAGTGGACTTGGTACAAAAGCTGCAGATTTGATACTGTGGTAAGCAGTCAGATTACAGAGTCCGTAAAGAGTCTTGATTGAGTTACCGGAGATACAGATAGAGTAGCACAAAAAGACAGATTGGTTGAATAGTTCGCTAGGTGTTGATTCTCCCCCGAGGATTCTGTATAATTTGATAGTCTTCTCAAATATTCAACAGGGGCTGATTCGGCAAAACGGCGCGTGCAAGCAGTTTTAGACGGTGCGCTGAGTCGGTCAGTGACTCACACCCGGAAATACAGAGTCTAGCGCCACACTTCGAAACCGCTTGCAGTGGTGTTGTGACCCTCGCAGTAATCATATCAAGGTTTTACGATGAGTTGACTCCTCAACTTGATGACTCTTGCTGTGACAATGGCGGAAATTGTCTCAAAGAAGCAGTCCATTTTACTCAGGAGACCATCATATTGAGAGGATTATGTTGGTAACACTCTGCATAGCCGAGACTGAAGGATTAATTACTACGACCTTTTAGGTTGGTCTAGCTTCCAACGAGATGCGCTCTGTAGCTGGCCGGATATAAAAACTCAACATAGAAGGACGATTCCAATAATTTAACCTGGTGGCCGTCCCCGATTCCTGACGAATTGACAAACAATTCAGCACTCCAACAGAGAGCCACAGGAGTTGTAAGAATAATTTATTAGCTCTTACACCTAAATGATGGGGGCCAAAATCCTAGAAACAAGCCGGCTGTACCCGTCCTCCCGTCAACAATCGCCCATCTCAACCGTATTATCCATTCTTGATGCCACGGTTGTTCGATTCGCTCCTACGGGAGCCATCTGGATCTTCGACAATGATTCACCGACTGAGATCGTGGGGAACCTTAAAGACTCCTTTACCAAGACGCTAGAAGCTTTCCCACAATGGGCAGGCCAGCTTCAGTGGGCGCCAGTCCGCGACAACGGCTCCCACGGAGAGCGTTTCAATCGGCCGATGATTACCTATGGCTTGGATTCAGATCCTGGCGTGGAATGGAACGTTGTTCAACTGGACTCTTTGCCAGCATCAGTGGCTCCAGAACCACCCAAACGAGCCTCCGATGAATTGTGGACAGAGAACTTCCCTCAATCCGATCTCATGATCTCGTCAACAAAGATGGCTCTATATGACCTCGATACATTCCAAGGCCTTCCCAGCATGATTGTACAGGTCACACTACTGGGTACCGGCGGCTTTGCTGTGGCCGTGAAGATGGCCCATCCACTGGCCGATGCCCATACTCTTATGCTTTTCATGCGTCGATGGGCGTCCATCTGCCGCGATGAGCTCACGAAGCAAGACCTCACTAAAGATCTTGCGCATCCCGTCTTTGAGCCAAACTTGCTAGACTCCAGAGCCGCCGGCGACATTGACGCTCCGGATAGTGATCCAGAACTGATCTCAAAGGCTCGCTCTCTTCCTCTACATCGGCATGACTGGTGGGATACTACTGCCGGAAATCTAGCAGCGCTTACCCCGTCAACAATAAACTCTAAACCGAAAGATGCCGCCCTTTTACGAAAGGCCATGATGTCGCCGGCATGCCCACCTCCGTGGGAAACCTGGGATTTTTCCAAGTCCGTTACAACTGCTCTCATTCACTTCACGGGAGATGAGCTGGAGCGACTCAAAAAGTCGGCCACTGGGACCACAGCCAAGGTCTCGCGCCTCGATGCTCTGCTGGCTCATGTCTGGGCAGCTATCAGCCGGGCCCGCTCACCATTATTGCAAAACGACGATGAAGTCTTCTTGGACTTTACTATCGGAGTCCGCGGACGGGTTTCGCCGGCCCTCCCAGACACCTTTGTCGGTTCACCTTTGGTGCTAACACATATTAGCACTCCTGCGCGGAACGTCGGGGCTTCCGATACCAAAATTGGCTCAATAGCCTCACAGATACGTACATGCCTTGATCGGTTCACGCCTGAGGCTATAGCAGCTATACTTCATGACGAAGCACATGAAGTCGCGCCTCAGCGTCTATGGAGATCATTTCTTGGCACGAAGCACACTCTTGTCACTTCGTGGGCCCGGCTTGGAGTTTATGATATCGATTTTGTAGGAAGCAGTTTGCGCCCACGTTATGTACATGCCATTATGTCCCCATTGGATGGTTTGTTGTGTGTGGTGGATAGCGGGATGCTTGATGGGGGCTTGGACGTTTCACTGTCTCTGGAATCAGAAGTTTTGCAGAGGTTTTTGAAAGATGGCAGGTTGCGAAACTTTTAGATTCTGAATTATTGGAATATCGGAAGCCGATACCCTGGCTCCAATTCCGAAGGCCTGGGGTGCACAAAATAGAGGATATGATGCTGAACGAAATTGCTTGACAGGATCCCGTATAGTCTAATGCACAATTGACACCCTGATAGGAGAATGACATGGTAAATCTCTATCAATCAGTCATCTTGTGACCGGCGATAGCTGCCATAATGATGTATTAGCTGATACAGCATGGGTATGCGCCAACCCCCAGCATTCAGCCATAAAAGCCTTCAACTTTACCCAAAGCACCAAGTTAGTGCCATAAGCTTGCAACCTTATATATTTTCTGTTAAACCAAAGGCACTTGAAATCTCAATGTCCATAGTTCGAGGTAGTCATTCGTATTAGTATGGTTTTTGGTGGCATATCGCATTACATCAAGCCTCAAAGATAGGAAGAATATTGGTCCCTTGCTAATTATGTTAAGAATTTATGTAAGGGCTTTCCAAAATACATGGCCCATTTACCAATGTAGACTCAAAATCTCAAAAATCATCATCTGTGAGTTGTATTACAGATGCCGCTTCGCCACATCTGCATTGCTGCCCAAAGGTGCCAAATATGCATGCCGTGTAACTTTCTTCACCAATTAGGCCTAAGGTAAGAAGCAGCTCTTCACAACTCATGTTAGTACTCTTTGTGCTTTTCTCCATCTATCTCGTTCTATAGTCGTATTCGTCATGACGACCGCAATTGTAGAATCTCCTGCTTACGGCCAGAACTATCTCCGATTCGAGAACTATACAATAGGATGGATATGTGCGCTCCCCGTGGAGGCTGAATGTGCTTTGTACATGTTGGATGTTCGGCATCGTGGCATATTTCCTTTTGTCCATGGCGACGATAATCAGTACGAAGCGGGCCAAATTGCTGGCCACAATGTGGTCATCGCCTCACTACCAAAGAAGTCAATTGGAAGTGTCTCTGTAGCCACGCTTGCTTCCCAAATGCGCCAGAGCTTTCGAAACCTACGGTACGGATTGATGGTGGGCATCGGGGCTGGGGTGCCTGGGCGGGCCTTGAAACCCGATATTCGTCTAGGTGATGTTATTGTGGCCTCGTCCTCCGACCAGTCTATGGGCCCAGTAGGCGTCATAGGCTACGAGCTTGGGGCAGAGACTGTCAATGGTTTCATCCGGAAAGGTTTGCAGCCCGAGACGCATCGACGTCTAAGAACTGCAATTGAATCTATCGAGAGAGACGCGCAAATGGATGACTTTCACCACTTTTTACAACACCTCGATAGTCTCCAGAAAAGAAGAAACGGCCACAAGTTCCTATATCCAGGAATGGACAAGGACAGATTGTATGTGGGAGACTATACGGACGACTTGGTAGAGCGGCTACCGCGGCCCTCCCAGGATCCGGTTGTTCATTATGGCCTTGTCGCGTCGGGTGATAAGATTATAAAGAATGCGGCACTCAGAGACAAACTAAGGGATCAATATGGTATAATCTGTTTTGAGATGGAAGCAGCCGGCCTCATGCCCATTATGCCTGTTGCCGTCATCCAAGGAGTCTCCAACTATGCAGACTCTCGCAAGAATGACGGGTGGAATGATTATGCTGCCGCAACTGCCGCCGCCTATGCCAAGAGTCTCCTGCTCAAAATTGGTCCAGAACAGCCTCTATCCCTCAGCAGTTAGTCTCTCAATTTCCTTGAACGACTCATACCTACAACATAAGAGATTGAATTCTTCTATAAGGATATGCTGGCTAGTGGGGAAGTCGAGATGGGTAAGGTATTGTGATGAGATCGACGAATAGAAATAGGGTCGATGCGACATGACTATGTTCGTTTTTGGAGACAGACCACTAGGGCCTTGAATTTACACTTCTTTTCTAATTCCCCTCTGAGTGTTATTTCTCATGATGACAAGTCGCTGTTGCCTCATTTTGTTCTACAATACCAGGAACTTGTGACAAGCATTCACCAAGTGATAACAAATTGCTAACGCGTGCCCTAGACAATGTCCCCAACTATGACTCAAATTTAGTGTTAACAAATGAGAAAGAAGGTTGACCTCCTTTCCCCTTGCGGTATATATCATCAATCACTGACCAAACTAGACTGCCTCCACTCTCTTGTCTTTCAAGACATGCTCCTTCGTCGGCAGAATATAGCCCTTGATCTTTTAGGCGCGTGCGACTGGATATTTGAGAACTCGGAACTCGTACAGTGGCGAAGGCAAGACGACTTCAAAAAGCATAATGGTGTTCTTTGGATCAAAGGAAATCCCGGTGCGGGTAAATCCACGTTGATGAAACATATCTGGGCCAACTGTGACAAATTATTTGCGGATTGCTTCATCGCAACATACTTCTTTAATACTCGAGGCCATAGCCTCCTTGAAAAGACTTTTTTGGGTATGCTTCGCTCACTATTATATCAACTTCTGACCACAGACGATGCGGTTTATCAAGGATTTATTACAATCTTCAGGGAAAAACAAAAAATATACCGAAGAATCGAGTGGCACGAGTCAGAGCTTCAAGATTTTCTCTTCCTCGAAATGAGGCAGTATCGATCTCGCCGTCTGCTCTTTATCATCGACGCGTTGGATGAATGTACTGATTCAGACAGGTTGAAGGTTGTGGAATTCCTCGAATCAATAAGCGTCAACTCTGGCACAAATCTTTGGATCTGTCTATCCTCCCGACATTATCCCAACGTCACTATAAAGAAGAGGCTTGAAATCGTCGTGGAGAGATCAGATGAGCACCGCAGAGGCATTGCAAAATACATCAAGAGCAAGCTGAAACAAAAATCCTCAGAGATTCAGAATCGTATCCTTAAGAAGGCCGCTGGAATTTTCATGTGGGTTATTCTTGTTGTCGCCAAGCTCAACGAGGCCTATGATCGTGGCCAAGTTGAAGTTGCAGATATGAGGGAAACTCTTGATCAGATACCAGGAGATCTGGAAGACCTATTCCAGACTCTTCTAAATAAAGATGACGGAAATAAGCCTGAGATGATGCTCATGCTGCAGTGGGTTTTGTACAGCATGCGACCTTTGAAGCCAGAAGTGTTATATTTTGCTGTGAGATTTGGAACGACAGCCCGAAACGGCAAAACCAGAAATTGATCCACGGCAACAATTGACGATATGGGGCGGCGAATCACTTCGTCCTCGAGGGGCCTTATCGAGATACGTGAAGGGGCGGATGTTGTACAATTCATTCATCAATCTGTCGAAGACTTTCTCGTTCGATATAAGAGGATGCAAAAGATAGATCCCACATTAGGACAAAATGCCACTTTTACAAGCCATGACCGTCTAAGGGCCTGTTGCTTGGAATGCATTACCACAGATGGAGCGGACGATAACACAAAAAGCTCTCCCTTCCTTCAGTATGCCTCGAGGTACTTGCTTGATCATGCTGAAAGAGCACAGACAGAATGCGATGTGAAATGGCTACACAGGCCGCATCTTTGGTTTGAACAGTGGAAAAGAATTCTCAGCAGCTCTGAGGAGTACCCGTTTCTAAAATACGACACAGGAGCCGGGCTGTTGAACGTTTTGCTTTTACGTGGCTATCATAACCTTTTCAGGATTGCATTACTTGGAAACGGAGCTGATATCAATGCACAAGGTGGACTTTTTGGCAACGTATTATAGGTGGCAATAGTCAAAAGAGAGGATACAATTGCGATAGAACTACTGGAGAAGGGAGCTGATATCAATCTAGGGGGTGGATTCTTCGGCAATGCACTGCAAGCAGCTATATCCAAAGGGAGCGAAGAGATCATAGAAATATTGATCGAGAAACGAGCTAATGTTAATGCTCAGGGCGGAATTTTCGGGAACGCCTTGCAGGCAGCTGCGGTCAGGGGAGACACTGATATCGTGGAGCTGTTGCTCAAGAACGGAGCCGATATCAATGCCCACGGTGGCATCTTCGGGAACGCCTTACAAGCAGCCGTAGCCAAGGGAAATGAGAAAATCGTGGCCTTACTTCTGGAGAAAGGAGCCAACATCGATGCTCAAGGTGGCATCTTCGGCAACGCATTGCAAGCAGCTTTAGCGGCGAGACATGAGAATCTAGCCCTAACGCTTTTCAAAAATGGAGTTGATTTCAATGCCTCAGGCGGTATCTCCGACGTGGTGCTGCTTATAGCTGCTGCTTATACACAAGGAGATATTGTGAAGACTCTCCTCGAGAAAGGAAGCATCAAACCAACGCTCTCGTCGGACATGACGGATATCGACCTCGAATGTGGACCGGCTCTCATATGGGCAGTCAGGAATGGACATGAAAATTTAGTAAAATGGTTACTAAAAAGAGGAGCAAATGTCAACGCAAAGTCTGGGTTTGGAAAGATAACGCCATCGATAATACGAATCAAGGCGCAAAGGGGCGCGTCCGTTCATTTTGACAGTGGAAGGATAGCGCTGCACTGTGCTGCCAGCCAAGGGCATGAATCGATGGTGAGATTGCTCCTCGATAATGGAGCAGATGTTATGGCGAGTGATAATGCTGGACGAACAGCTCTATCCCTGGCAGCCAGCAACGGGCACGAAGCGGTAGTGAAACTGCTATTGGAGAACGGAGCTGATATTACCGCGAAGGATAATGCTGGACGAACTGCATTGTGTCTGGCGGCAGCCCAAGGGCGGACTGCAGCGGTACAGCTGCTGTTAGAAAATGACCCAAGCGCAAACTCGCAAGCTATGTTTGAAGTGACGGAGATCTGGAACCAGCCCTTCCAGAGTCTGAGCATACAAAGTATATCAGTCCATTTTGCGACCCGTGGTGCACGCGCAAAGATACAGATTAAGAGTCTTGTTATGAATGGCGGCTCGCTCTATTTAGCAGTAACCGGCGCATCAGCTAGGTTAGAGATCGGGAACCTCATCATGAACGGCGGTTCGCTCATTGCAAAGGTAGGCGGCGGCGACGCTAAGTCTAAAATCGAGACTCTCCAGATGAATGGCGGTATGCTGCATATAGAAAGCTCTGGTGGAGGTGCCAAGTCCAAGGTTGAGAAGCTTGAGATGCGAGGTGGTTCACTCTACTTAAACGCAGATGGCGGAGGCGCTGGCGTGAAGATTGGGATTCTAAAGTTATCCGGTGGTGAGTTCAGCTTAAATGCAGATGGCGGTGGTGCTGAAGTGAACATTGAGAGGCTTGAGACAAGCGATGGCTCATCTACACTGACTGGAATGGAGATGGTTCACATATCTAATGGGAAAGGCCAAGAAGTCCTCCGGGGACTATACGGGGAGCTTCCAAATGGGCGGAAGATGATACATGAAAAAACCAGCACAGGGGCCGCGAGCAAAGTGCCGGAGGGTACACGTCTGAGCATAGGGGGAGGACCGACACCACTTCATATGGCGGCCGAGAATGGCCACGCTGAAACTGTAGGGCTTCTTCTTGCGAATGGCGCTGATTCCAACGCAAGATGGGGTAAATTATCACCCCTTCAATTAGCTGGCAAGAACCTCGATAACCCCGTCACACAGCTGTTAGTGAGGGGCGGAGCGCGTGTGGAAGAAGATGATGATAGCGACGAATGGACGAGGAGATTCCGAAGAGGGCCTTTCTTGCCGTCACGCGAAGGACGGTCACCGTCCAGTTCATCAACGTCCGGTTCATCCGTGACGAGAAGATCACCACCACGACGGCGTTTCTTGCGATCACGCGAAGAACGTTCAGTGTCCAGTTCATCAAAGTCCAGTTCATTCATGACGAGAAGATCACCAGGACGACGGCGTCTCTTACCGCCACGCGAAGAACGGTCAGTGTCCAGTTTGATCATGAGGAGAAGATTATCAAGGCAGCGTTTCTTGCGGTCACGCGCAGAACAGTCGACGTCCAGTTCATCCATGACAAGAACTATTGGTGAGTTGTTTCTTATAGTATGCGGGTCTAGCCGTATCCAACATCACATCTAGATGAGAGAACCTGTCCCAAAAATGCATTTTGTGGAACAACATCTAACGGTTGGCGAAGAATTAAGAGAGTCCGGCGAAGAATCCAACCAAGAATCTGTTCCGGTATCCGACCAAGAATCTGATCTAGAACTTGATCAAGAATCAAGGGAAGAACTAGGGGAAGAATCCGACCAAGAGTCTGATCAAGATTCTGATCAAGAGTCCGATCAACAGTCTGACAAAGAGTCCGATGAGAATTTTGATGAAGAATCTGACGAGCCACTTGGTAAACCATTGAGAAAACCATTTGGCGAGCACTTCGACAAACAGTTTGACGAGCAATTCAACGAGCAACATGGCCGGCAACTCGATGTGCAAACTGATCGGCACGCTGATGTGCAATCCGATGTGCAATCCGATACACAACCTAACGAGCAGCTTGATGAGCAACCTGGCGAAGAGCCTCATGAAGAGCTTGACCCAAGATCTAACGAGCAACTCAGTGGACAATCTGGCGAAGAGGCTACAAAACAGCGCCTAGAAAAGAACAAAGATGGAAAGAGGTCCTGTCCTGGCTTTGAGAAGTGCTTGTTAATGTAGTATTTGTCTATAGAATTTTCTGATAGAGTAAACTCATGCCAAACCGCCTCCAACTACTGTTGAAGTACCAGTCTCACCAATAGAATATTATCCTTTTGAGGACGCAACATTGGCGAATAGGCAATAAAATGTGACTAGACTAAGTCTATGCACAGTCGACGGAGAGTGACGGAGAGGATTACCTGCTTAGGTTGGATGAAGCGGCATCTCAATGGCTCCAAATTTTTGGCGCGTCTAGTTTACCCTATGACAATGGTTCTCTCTTTAACTCAATATCTCGTAGTCATAATAGTTAGTGTTATGTACCCCAAAGGTAGAATGGAGCAAAGACCAGTTTACAAAGGAGTCACTAGGTCCTGAAATAGCCGATTGAAGACGTCAATTGAATGTATTTCCGAGGATTCCTCTAAATAATACAAGTAAACATGTGTACCTGTAAATACTCAACTGCAAACCACTCTTGTATCAATATTCCTATTATATCTTCTTCCTCTTCGAAACTTCGCAATACCTGCCACTGTGGAAATATACTTAGTATGCTTTATAGTATTATTACAATTGGTCATAAGTAATCTAGGGGAGGCCTTGCCCCCTAGCCATGCCGCCTTGTGAGCTAGCTATTTGCGGAAGTTGACAACTGCCTCTTTTATATTACTCCTTAGGACAGATCATAACGACAATAGCCTTCAAATACAACGTCTACCTCCAATAGCGTAAGCGAACTCCATTTTCGATTATTACACCACATACTGCAAGGAGAGTTTTTGTAGAGAAAGACCTAGAGGTTATCATAGACTATAGGTTCCACACACGGAATTAACACTAGTGATCAGCACAAAACAAGCATGAATTATAATTATTAACTTCATTAGTGAGGTTAGCAGGCAATAGCATAAGCCTCCCTCCGCAAGCACCTTCAATGAAATAGTCCTGGTTCTGAATTACACCGCTGATCCGCGTATTGGCATTTCGCAAACCGCTCTCGCCCCTTTTTCTAGATCTCGCCAGCTTTAGTGCTGATTCTGATGTACACCGTTGATCTAGTTGTTGGCATCTCACAAATCGCTCTCGCTCCCTTCTGGACCTGGCTGGCTGTTTTCGGCGGAGATGGAAACTATAAACATTGATATAAGGTGCTTTGCATTCGCATTCAAGTAGATCAAGCAGCTTCAACTACACTCAGGTATTCAAGGAGTAATCTATTAAAAATGCACTTTCAATTGAGCCAGACTGTGGCGTGCTTGTCGTTTATAGCGGGAGCAAATTGTCTCAGCACTCCTCGGTCCGTATCATCTCAGCATGACCTCAAGGGAAAGCGTTCGATTGAAGTTCGAGACGGCGTTACCCACACCGTGTTCGAGCACCAAGAGACTGGAGCAAAGATCGACTATGTAACAAACTCTGGTGTCTGCGAGACAACTCCTGGTGTGAACCAGTACTCTGGCTATTTATCTGTGGGCAGTATGTACTGTATTGAGCTGATTTGTGATAAGATTACATTGATTAATAGGTGACGCAGCAAATATGAGCATGTTCTTTTGGTTCTTTGAATCGCGAAACAGCCCCGCCACAGCACCGCTGGCTTTGTGGTTGAACGGAGGACCGGGATGTTCATCCATGATTGGACTGTTTACGGTACAAAATTTCATCTCTTTCTTTGTATATTTCAAGACTGATCAGAGATCAACAGGAAAACGGCCCTTGCACTTTCAACAACGTCGAGGGAAACACGCCAGTGCTGAATCCACACAGCTGGAATGAGTACGCCAACATGTTATTTGTTGATCAGCCTATTGGCACTAGATTCTCGTTTGGAAGCGAAACTGTCAACACGACCTTTGCTCTGCTCCGCCTGTTTGGACCTTCTTGCAAGCCTTCTTCACAAACTTCCCACAGTACGAATCTCGTGACTTTGGTATCTTCACAGAGTCATACGGCGGACACTTTGGACCTAGTAAGACTACATCCGTCATGACCGGGATGTTTTGACTGACCCAGCTAGGAGCTTCTGAGTATATCCAGTCCCAAAAAGCCGACATCGCCAGCGGGAAGATTCGGGGTCAAATGATCAACCTGGTTGCTCTGGGAATTAATAATGGATATTATGACTATGAGATAGCGGAAACGAATTTCCCCAAGTTCAGCACCAACAACAACTATTACCCATTGATCAACAACAGCAATGCCTTGGAGTACATCTCGGAAATTGAATCACAGTGCCTGCCTGGCGTATCAAAATGTTCGCCCTTTGAAGATGGCCACTTCGATGACTGCGTGGCAGCGTTTTTACCTTGCGTGGCGATCGATAATAAGTTTGGCCAGTTCTTTCTCACCAACTACTCCACCCATGATATCAGACAGCCCGCTCCTGGGAATTTCCCACCCGCGACCTACATTACGTACTTGCAAGGTCCGGCAATTATGAAGAAAATTGGTGTGAATGTGACCTACTCGGAATGTTCCAGCGACGTGGCGAACAATATTGACAACCTTGACGATGGTAATTCTCTCTTGCTACATCTCTATTCTAATATTCCATCTAACGTCGTTCAGGATTAGGCTCGTACCTACCCGCTCTTTCAAAGTCGTTCAATCTGGCGTGACTACAGTTATTTGGGCGGGAGATGCTGATGCTGTTTGCGATTGGTTCGGAGGATTTGCAGCTGCGAATGCCATCCAGTACCAGGATCAAACAGCCTCCAACCAAAAGGTGGTAGCCAGCTATACAGGAAACGGTGTTAAAGGAGGAGAGTTCAAATCCGTTGGTGTGTTGAGCTGGTTGAGGGTATATGGAGCTGGCCATGCAGCCCCGGCTTTTCAACCTGAGCTAGCGCTCCAGGTGTTTAAACTAAACATGATGAAGACGGCTTTAAAATCGACTTGAGAGTATTTGGCATACAGATCATATCTAGTCATCTATACAGTATTCCCTGGAAAATTTAAACCTCAGTTTTCTTTTTTGCACTAATCGTGAGGGGCCCTTCGCCTGGATCTGTAATTAGATGTAGGTTCAATATCCCTAACGCAGCCCGGCCCGGTGGTAGGAATTCGGCATTTGCCCTGGCCCGCAGCTAAATCCCCACGGTTCCTTTGCAATTAGAATCAATCAGGCCGTAATAAATTCCACTAACCATATCTGTGGACCAAATCTCTCATAACGTCAAGGACCCTGTTAAGCTTATTAGCCGCCAAACTAGACAGTAGGCTGAGAATACATAGCCTCACTGTGTGCGAAGTGTCTCGTTATCAACAAAAAGCGCTGATACATGGGTGTCAAACCTCCTAGCTTGATATCAGCTACGTATATCAGGAAGAAGGAAAAGAGTTTCTGAGCGTCTCACAGCCTATAGAGGTCTAGGCGGCCTTCGAAATCTTCTTCCGGCGGCGAAATCTGGGTGAATGTGTTGTAGGCAGCAACGTACTCATCCCCAAACCTATTGCAAGCCGGTCGCCACTGGCCAAACTCATCTATTCAAGTTATTTAGCATGGGTAACCGCAAGTGTTTCGTAGGGGGACGTACATTCGTTGTGCGCGAAGAAGCAGCACGCATCAAAGACAAGAGGCTGGTCGCCGTCGGCATCAATCCCTGCATTTGCGTACCAAAGGTCTCCATGAATGAGTGAGGGCTTCACTACTCGACCGTCACTCTCGAGAGGCCTCAGGAGCCTCGGGATGACCTTTTCGAACAGAGCATGGGAGAGGACATCGAGCTCCTCACTAGGACCTTTCCTTTCAATCTCCAGGTCAAGCGCCTGTCTCATGGACTTGGCGAAGAATACCTCCCAGCTATCTTCCCATGCCACAAACTGAGGTAGGTTTCCTGCGTAGGTGGTGATGTGGAATCCGAACTTGCCAGTAGGCGATTCGCTTTTCTGGTGCAGTGCTGACAGAAAAGCGGCAAATTTGTAAGGGTCAGGCATATCGTCAGTCATTTCTCGAAACTCGCAGAGGAAGAAGTGGGTGTCTGCGATCGTCTCATAGGTGCCGCAAGCGATGGGTCTTGGGACAAATTCAGGCAGGACGCTGTGCATCGCGCTCATTGAGTGAAATTCACCCTTGGTCATATTCATGCCTAGTTCTTTCGAAATGACCTTGACGAAGAAGGATTGCGGTGTACCATCGCGGAGCCGAACATCGACGCGACCTGTCTGCGCCCAGAAGCTTACGCCGTGGTTCTCAGTGGATGTGACCTTGCATCCTTCCGGCAGTTCTTGGGAGGCAGTCAATATGAAGACGATCTTGTGAGTTCTCCAAGGGCTTGTGGCTTACCCCTCAACAAGGCTGGGTCTATTTTGGTATTTCCCGCCCCGAATTCAAGGCCATCTGCGCCGTTGTAGTTCATTTCCTGTGTCAAAGAATGTGCGGAATTTGTTCAGCGTCCTGCTAGTTGGAGATCATCCGGTTCTCGGAGACACAGGGTTTATTTATAGGCGGCGTTTCTGGATGCCCCTACCATCATGGTGGCCAATTGCAGGCGAGTGATTCGAGTCTTACCGAAACCACCCAACAGACCACAAGACACGACCTCAAAGGAGAACGCCACGGAACGACGTATAGACGCCGATTCTCGCAGCTAACGGTACACAATACCCACTGCCGCGAATCTTTATCAATTCTAAGTTGCTATTTTATTTTATCAAACGGTGGTGAGAAGCACACTAGGCGGTTTTAACCAATTGATGAGAGCTATCTAAGGAGAAAGAGCTTATTGAGAGATGCACCGGGGCTGCAGCTCGTTCTGCGACATCTTTATATATCTATGCCAATTTCATCTCTAGATAACAATAAGAGGGTCAAAATAAACTCGAGCTGAGTGACCATCCGGGCCGTCTGGGCGTTCCCGCAACCTTGATCTTTTTCTTCTTCGTCTTCAGTGCCCAGTCATTGAGACCTTGGTGATTCTGTCACGCCAGTGTTCAACGGGGAACACAACCTTGACACCGTTTGCCTCCAGCCTTTCCTGCCCGTCATTGTGCGCGATAAACGTCCCTGGCTCCTTGATTCCCACGTAGACAGTCTTGATGGCGCTCTTAAGTCTCAAGATTCTAGTCACGCAGGTCATGTTGCCGCTAAGCCTCTCGTTGCATGGCTCCATGGTCGTGTACAGCGCCGTGTTGGCCGGAAGGACCTCATGAATGCGTTCCTCAGAGAGGTTGTGTTCGTCGGCGATCTTGATAAAACAACACTGCTCTGCGTGTGTGGTGCCTGGATCTCCCTTGTAATCTCGCGGATATTCAAGCGAGTATCCTGTCGATAGGACCTTTCCCTTGGCGGCGTCGACAAGTACGGCTCCAACGCAGAATTTGTTGGCAGCTGGCGGTGATTTTTGTGCCTGAATGAGAGCTAACTCCATGAAAGCCTCGTGGTCCCCAACCGCAAAGGTTGGATTCGTCTGTGTATCCATCGTAAATGGCTCTCTGAAATCATGCACAATGCTTGGGCAATCTCTCTTATAAACCAAATCAACACAGCATCGTCAAGAAAGGGCAAAGAAGGTACAGGTCAATGGGGGTGTTTTTGAAGCATTGGGTGCGCGATTTTTTAGGGTAACACATGCCGTTGTTTTTCCCGAGCCTGTGCGACAGGGTTGAAGCAATCACACTGCTAATTGGTGGTTCGAAGCGGGAGGGAGGGCTGACACTCATCACCTGCTAGGTGCTTCGGTCGCGAGGTGGTTGAGCACCACCAAGAGTCTCTCCTGAAACAACTCCATTATATGCACTTTGAAGGGACAGACCATCGTGCCGACGTCACCTTGAATGAGTCTGGGCAACCGAGATTAGCGCCCCAGGCACTGAGTTCTGCGGACTACAATGGTTAACTTTCACCTCCTTAGCCTCCTGGGAACATGACTTGAATCCTACCAGATCGCTGACTGTACTAGTTCTTTCGAAAGGAGCGGCGCACAAAGCCCGACCTGCATCCCGACAGTCCCTCAAGTAGTCGCGACTCGCGCAAGAGCTCGAAGAGTCTGCTTCCTCTGTCAGAAATCCTGCCCAGGACGTCAACCACCTCGAGCGACCAAGCGGAGGGCGTAAAGGGCCCGCTTGGACTGAGCCTCCTCTATTCCCCGACGGCGCCGGAGATCGACTTCATCTTCGTCCATGGCCTAGGCGGCAATTCTGGGAAAACATGGAGCAAGTCGTCCCTGCAGTCTCATTTTTGGCCAAAGGAGTGGCTCTCCAAAGACCCTGCATTCAAGAATGTCCGCATCCATAGCTATGGGTACGATTCGTATTACTTGAAGGGCAAGGAGGACTGTTTGAACGTACACCACATCGGCAAGTCATTCCTAGGCGCGATCAGCAATTCGCCATGCATCGCCAATTCCGGGACACATATCGTTGTTATTGGCCACAGCATGGGTGGCTTAGTGATGAAGAAAGCATATATCCTTGCGAAACAAGACGCAGTGCACAAGGCGCTGGCTGGGCGATTCGCCGCACTCTATTTCCTGGCCACGCCGCATCGAGGTGCCGACTCGGCAAAGATGCTGAAGAACCTCCTCAGGGTTGCGTACGACCGCGCTTATATTGGCGATCTAGAACCGAACTCTGGGGCCGTTCAAGTCATCAACGACGAATTCCGGCATTTTTCGGCCGGCCTTGAGCTTTGGTCGTTCTACGAAACGCAGAATATGAAACGGTTTAGCTCACTCATCGTCAATCCTGAGTCGGCCGTCCTCGGGTACCGTGAAGAGAAGCAGATACCCATGACTGCTGACCACCGCTCGATATGCAAGTTTGATACACCCGAAGACTCCAACTACGCCCTCCTACGAAACGCGCTCGCCTCTACTGTCAGCAAAATTTCCACGGCAATTCCGGAGCTGAAGCTGAAGCAAAGGCGTGAAAAGATCAAAACCCTCAAGAAGTACCTGGGAGTTGCCGACGTCTTGGACGATGACCTTGCAAACGTCTGCGAAGCTCGGATGCACGGGTCGTGTGAATGGATCTCAGCCAAGGCCAGTTACGTCAAATGGAGAGATGGGGAATCCGGAAATGGCAGGACGCTATGGGCCAAGGGCAAGCCAGCAACTGGAAAGTCTGTACTCGCTGGCTATGTCATCGAACAGCTCAAGGAGTCCGGCCAGGCATGCAGCTACTTTTTCTTCAAACATGGAGACAAGTCGAAGTCCAACCTAGGTCGTTGTCTACGATCTCTAGCTTTTCAGATGGCTAGCTCCAATGCCGAAGCTACTGAGGTCATCCTAGAGATGCAGGCGGATGGTGTTCGCTTAGATCGCGTCGACGAACGTACCCTCTGGAGAATCCTCTTCCTTTCTGGCATTTTCCGGGCCACAATGACTCGGCATTACTGGGTCATCGATGCCCTGGACGAGTGTTCCAATTCTTCAGTCCTTATTCATGCCATTGTTTCCAACATGGACGAATCTATACCCCTGAGAATTCTCGTCACAAGTCGGGATACGGTCGATCTGGACCAAGGTTTCTCGGTCATTCCACCCAATCTAGTCCAGTCTTTGCCAATCTCGACAACGGACACAAAATCAGATCTCAGGCTTTTGGTGGAGGGGAGGACCCAGGCCTTAGAGGTCGTGGGACCTGACGATCGAGGTACATTAGTCGAGAAGATTCTAGACAAATCTAAAGGCTCCTTCTTGTGGACAATCTTGGTGCTTGAGGAACTCCTACGCTGCCACAGCAGAAAGGAAATTCACCAGGTTCTTGAAGATGTGCCGAGAGGCATGGAGTCACTATACAAGCGGATTTTAGACTACATGTCGCAGGCCGCTCGTGGAAAGGAGCTGGCCAAAACCATTCTCATGTGGGCAGCATGCGCGGTTCGACCTATGACAATCAGCGAGTTAGACGGTGCTCTGACTTTAGACTTCCACGACTCATTCCCAAGATTAGCAGAAAGCATCGCCGCACTCTGTGGTCAACTAGTGGTCGTGGATAAACATGGGAGAGTTAATATGGTGCATGAAACTGCCAGAGAATTCCTTATAGCCGGCGGACTTGAGTCCGAGTTCTCCATCGAGAAAACTAAGGCGCACACACGGATGGCTCAGGTGTGTCTCAATTACCTTGTCGGGGAGGAAATGAAGCCTCCGAGGAACAGTCGACGCCGTTCTTCGGCAAATGTACTAGCAACAAGACTAGATTTCGCCGCCTATGCATACACAGCGTACTCATATCATCTCTCGAAGGCTGATCCATTAGAGGCAGGGACGTTCCAGCTTGTCGTGCAGTTCCTGAGATCCAACGTCCTCACTTGGATCGAAACGATTGCCGACACTCAGAATCTCAATGACCTGATCCGCGCCTCAAAACATCTCAAAACCTACGTTAATGCGTGTGCCGTTGAGCGTTCACCACTAGACCCTCGGATACGAGCGCTCCGACAGTGGACCACAGACCTTGCCCGGATACCTGCCATGTTCGCTAACGCCCTCATGGTATCACCGTCAGCAATATACGCGTCGATACCCCCTTTCTGTCCCACCGAGTCTATGGTATACAACACCGGGGGCTCAGGCCGGAGGTTCGCAGTGCTTGGCGCGCCTAACAAGCAATGGGATGATAGGCTGCTGTGCATCGATTTCCGTCAGGGTCAACCAAGGGCGTTGAGTTCTGGAGACGAATTCCTGGCCGTCGGTCTCAGTTCAGGAACCGTCGTATTGTACTACGCCACATCCTACCAGGAGTACAAAGTCTTTGAGCACGGTGAAGCTGTCAACTTCATTTCTTTCAAGGCCAAAAGCGACCTCGTAGCGACTTGTGGTATGAGGATGACCAAGGTCTGGGACATCAGCAGTGGGCAAGTAGTGCACAGCCTTGCGAGCCCTACGCGTCCGCTGGGGATGGAATTCGATGGAGAGACGCTTTTAATTGCGAGCCGCAACAACTACGTCGCGACTTGGAATTTGAGACACGACACCCAGCCGGAGTTGGCGCGGAAGCCATGGAGCGATACCGATATACTAGAGACGAACCGAACGCCTCCGTGTGGGACACCATGCGCACTGACTCTCTCTACCAGCCACGGAATGCTTGCTGTCGCCTACAATGGCCAACCCATTACGTTATGGGACATGGAAGAGGACGCCTACGCTGGTAGCTGTGGCAAGAAACTCTCTAGTGGAGAGACCAGCACGCATGTCGTCGTCGCGCTTGCTTTCAACCCCAACCCTGACGTTAGCCTTCTCGCAGTTGCATACCTCGATGGTGATCTTGCCCTCCTTAACCCCTTTACCAACCAGCAGCTGGAGTGTTTTCGTGCCAACTGCCAAACCCTCGCCCCAAGCCCCAATGGGCGTCTCCTCGCAGCGGGTGGTGCAAATGGGATTATCCACGTTTACGAATTTGATACGTTCAAGCTCCTCTATCGGGTCAAGTCATCCAACTCGTATATCAAGCAGCTTGCCTTTACCAGAGACAGTATGCTTCTTGCCGACATACGAGGCGCCCAGTGCACTGTTTGGGAACCTGAAGCTCTGTTGCGGGAGTCCCTGAGCGATGACAGCAGCGGATCTAATTCCACCACAGTGGTCGAGACGGTTTCCGTGGAAGCTAAAACGAAGATTACCGCCATGGTGGTCCATCACACGTCCGAAGTTGTCTTTTGCGGAAAGGATGATGGATCAGTGGTACTGTACGAGCGAAAAATAGCAGCGAGCTTGGGGACTCTCTACAGCCACAAGTCACCAGTCCGCCTGTTGGTCTGGATTGAACGGAGAGATGCCCTGCTTAGTGTCGATGCCTCCAACAGGATCTTCCTACACAGAATCAAGAAGTCAGCAGACAAAGGTTGGCTCAGCGATCTGATGGTGCTCTTCAAGTCCCGCCTCGACTCCGAGAAGGCAATCATAGATGTGCTAGTAGGAGAAATGGCAGCGAAGTTTCTGGTATCGACTCGCGAGTCTGATTATCTGTTCAACTTGGACAGTGGTAACTATGAGAGAGAGCGGACATATCCACAAACACCAGGAATCCGCAAATGGCTCCCTCATCCAGAATCCTCTCTACATTTGGTTTGTGTCGACAACGTCGAAGTCTGCGCCTACTGCTGGAGTGACTGGTCTAAAGTTTTGTCTATTGCATTGCCATTTGACAACGATACGGCAGAGCTCAAAAGCGCGATCCTCTATTCGCTCGGCCAAAAACAAAGAATCATGCTTAACTTGTTACATCCAAACAGCTCCATCAAGACCAACAGGATTGAAATAATTGACGCAGACTGCCTCGCCGTCGGAAACAACGATAGAAGCTCGCTAGGGAAGGAATTGGATGTTGTGGCGGCGTTAGATCAACTTGCCACGGATGAAAACAGGCAGGATATGGTCATGACAACGAGTCCAGCCGCTCCGCTTCGTTCACGGATGACAACATTCGAACTAGACGCTATCCATATCATCGGAATTGACGAATCGAGGAAACTAGTATTCTTGAACCGGTCTTTTTGGGTGTGCTCTGTTGATCTCGGCGAGAGCGGGTTAGAGATCGCGCAACGCAAAGATTCCCCAACGATCGAGGTCTTTGAGCACTTTTTCGTCCCATACCACTGGCTCGCCGGGAAGAGGGACATTGTTTGTGCTTTGACAAAGGGACATATTATGTTAACACGGAGTGGCGACCTGGCGGTGATTAGGGGCGGCCTTGATCATGCTGAGAGAGTGAGTACATGTATAGAATAAGAGACTAAACCAGAGGGATATATACAGGTATACGCGGAAGAAAGACCCTTGAGGCACTCATGGCTAACCCATCGAGACTAGTCCTCCTCATTCAAGAAGGAAAAGACACTCCCATAGAGAGGACATATTAACCGCTATAACAGGATAAGGCTATACTTTACTAGCCAGCTACCACGGCATAAGGTCTCGGGAGTAATTTGCACCAGAGAAAATACAAAGACCCAGCCGTCTTGTGACACATGACACATCAAGTGAGGGGACTCGTGCAACCTAGGCCGATCCATGAATTAAACCCCTCTTGTGCCGCTGCAGTATTCCGTAGCCAAGAGAAAATATAGTCTATTTTTGTCTAGTCTATGTTCCACAGCATCATAAGGATCTTCTATCAACCTATGAGGTGCAAAGCCTTGCACAAGCTGAAAGTTTAGAGAAAAGTGGCAATTCAGAAACCCAATTATAGCAGTAATAATTTCTGCTGTCCTACCGCAGGCGGCTGCCAACAAAGCATCAGCCACTCTTTGTCATGGCAGACTAGGCTGAATGACATAATATAAAATGCAGCGAGGTAGTCGAAACTGAGGTTTAAATCATGGCGGTCTGAAGAGTATGGCGCTGATTTATGAATGTCCTTTGTCAACCAAATCACTTTAAAGCATTTGGAAGGGTCCCACTTGTTTTATTTCTTGCACCATGGCGTCTAGTTACGACATTTTGCCCCAAGATGGAGAAGCTATTGGTTTTCAAGGAGCCATCAACAACCACCAGCAGCAATCGGACGAGCCTGAAGCTCAAAAAGCGAGCGGCGTATGGCGCATTCATTGGCGGTCTCCGACATCGATGATCGGCTTGTTCATAGGGGCTACTGGCGCCGCTGTTGCTCACCACTTGTACTATGATAATATAGACGGGTCAGAAGTTGTCATTGTACAAGACGAATGGACTCTAGAAGCTGTGCGCAATAGCCAAGAATGGAAACTGCGATTCGGGGCGGGACTCGCATTCCTGGCCAAGGCCATGTTCGCTGCCTCTGCTATTGTTGCTTATGAACAGCAGGCTTGGCTCACGGCTAGAACCAAGGCTGCGGTTGCTGGCCTAGATGCAATGTTTTCAGCAGCTCAGAGCCCGCTGAGTTTCTTTAGCCCGGACTTTTTGCGTAAAGCTAAAGCTGGAGCTATCATGGCCCTCCTTGTATGGTAAGTTTATTTCCATCTCTATGTTCTTTCCATCTCTCGTGTTATAAATAGATGAAGACGGCTGATACATAACACAGGTGCATTCCACTTGCAGCCGTCATCACTCCTGGCACGCTCGTGGTGGTACCTACAACTCTATCAACTTCCAAATCTTTCCCCGTTCCTGTCATCAACTTCTCTCAGGTTCTGCCTCTTTACGACTTTAATTCCAGTGTCATTGGATATGTTGGTTAATCAACTAGTAATGGAATCACTCCATACTTATCACGTCTTGTTTCGTCAACAGCCACCTCATCACAAATCTTGCCTATGAATATTGGCCTTGCTAACTCAACATATAATTTGACCTTCCACGGTCCATCTTTCCGCTGCAGAAAGCCGTCTGAAATGGTAGGACAAGCTATTGCTATGACTCTCAATGCGACCCGGTTTATGTGTGAGGGGAACATGGGTTCCATGGCCTGGCTAGCATTTGCGCCGCCTGGCCAAATACTGTCGACAATAGCCTATTCAAAAAAGAAAGAGACACCACTCCGAGAACATTGGGAGACTTTTCTAGCTTTCGTGTCTTCATGTATTACACAGCCTGCTAAGTCGGCCGTAGTCTTTCCACAGTTCGGTTCTCTGCCTCTCTGCGAGGGTATAGTGGGTTCATATAATGGTAGTACATATAGGGTTTCTCTACAAGATTTGTCATCCGTGAAAGTTGGATTCAACCACGGTAGGCTCTGGGTTTCGGCTCAAAACGTAATGTATGATTGTGTTTTAACCGACACCGAATACAGCACGCGCTTCTTCTACTCTACATCCGAGCAGGCTCAGCGTATTGACCCCGAATACAGCTTCAAGTGGACTGAAGAAGATGTATATGACAGTTATTTCTACCTTGCCGATGCACTTGCAACTCTGCTTGGAGGAGCTGTCCGCGTCTTTGGAAAAGGCATCATGGCATTCAAAACACGCGTTACAGACACAGCCATCTTTGGCGCTCTCAATGTTGAGTCAACGAAGTATCATAGTCCTGACCTCTCGCCCTCTGTGGGCGAGCTCATAGAGGAACTTTCGCGAAACATCACGTTGAGTGTGTTCAGTCTCGATCAGATGCTGTAAGTAAAGAGGCAACCCTGTAGAAGTTATGACACAATGGGCATCTAACAAGGCATTGTACCGCCGCAGAATCCAGAACGACACAATGGTCAGAATTTCCTCCGATGTGAATGTCTACTCATATAACCGAAGAGTTCTCATCATCACATATGCCGTCGTCTTTCTGGGCACATTGATTGCGTTGCTCATCGGGAGCGTTGCGTATTTCAAAAACGGCGTTAGCCACCAACTGTCCTTTTCAACATTCATGTCAACAACGAGAAACTATCAGTTAGATGAGTTAACGGCGGGAAGCTCTATGGGTGCCATGCCGCTAAGGGATTCTATTCGGTCAACAAAACTTCAATTTGGCTTCCTGCGGAATGCTGATGAAGGAGCTGAAAGGGAGGAACTAATGCGAAGAGTGGGATTTGGCCTCTCCGATCAGATTGTGCCGCTGCAAAAAGGCATTCCTTATTATTAGATCAGTTCCCTTGTTCTTAAACGACAAAGCTATACAGTAGCTAATGGTCTTACCTATAGCGTCAAAAGCGGCCGGGGCCTTTTTAACGGCCTTGAATTCAAGGCTGAATACGAAGTAGTAATTACTCCATTGCCGCCGGCGTTAGTGTGCAAGTTCGCATTGTGAATATGTAGCTTCGATTTGACAAAGATTTTGCCACAAGTCAAAAATAACTTTGAGGCATTTTCAGGTCCTTTTTCTATGTAAATTATTAATAAATTTAACGCGAAGGATCCTTCCTTGCTTACGGAGTGACAGACCCCCAGACCTAACAACATATTTCAGTGTGTTAAGGACAGAATTGGCAAGCTGTTGGTTGAATCACATTACGCTTTCGGACAAGGCAGAGCGGAGTTGCACCTGCGACCCAAGGCAACCGTTCAATATGAAGGCCGTCAGAACACCGCCATCAAGACAAACATTTTAGTATAAAAACAGCCATTGTGTTCCAAAAGTGTGTTTCACCTTGATTCCATATCCATCTGCTTCCTATCAAGATGAACGCCTCTGCCTTGTTCAAAATGGCGTTACTATTCAACCCATTCTTTGGCTTTACATCAGCCAACTACAGCACCGATGGCTTCTCCAATCCTGTCATTGGCCCATCATCCGGCGGTGGCTCGACTTGCATTTCTGGCCATGTCGCGGTGTCTGTGAATACAACCGGCACCAAACTTCTTTACGAGGCACCTGAAGATCAAAGGGCTGTAACGGAGTCATTTGTCGAGTTGTTCCAGGCGGACGCTGCCTGGATCTCCAAAGTCATCGCTGGTGGGCCCAGTGTTATATCCGGCCGTTACAATATTTTCGTCAAGCTCTGCCTATCCACAGACCCTGACAAGTTGGCCCAGGTCAAGACAGTCCAACTGTTGACACACGGAGCCACTCTCGACCACACTTACTGGGACATTGCCCCAGGCTACAGCTACGTCGACGAGGCTTCTGCAGCAGGATACGCTACGCTCTCCTACGACCAGTTGGGCGTGGGGAAGTCCGATCACCCGGATCCCATCCAGGTTGTGCAGGCAACTGCTCAGGTCGCTGTCACGCATGAGCTGGTTGGTCTGCTCCGGCAGGCCAAACTTGGCGGTTACAGTTTCGACAACGTCGTAGGTGTTGGGCACAGCGCGGGAAGTACGCTGACACAAGGCATCACCACGCAATATCCGCAGGACTTCGACGCCGTAATTTTGTCCGGCACCAGCGCCAGTGCTGCCTCAGTCGCACTAACCGTCGCAGCCTTCAACTTCATTGAGGCAAACACAGACCCGGCACCGCAGTTCAAAAAATTGCCCACAGGCTTCTTGACGCAGCAGTCGGCTACCGGAATCCAGTTTGCCTTCTACCGGTACCCAAACTATGACGAGGATGTGTTCAGAAAACAAGTTGCCAACAAGCAGACGAATACACTAGGAGTCCTGCTCACGCTGGGTGGCATCGTTGCGCCGTCAACAGAGTTCACTGGGCCAGTCCAGATTGTCAATGGTCAACATGATCTCGTCTTCTGCGGCGGCAACTGTCTCTACCCAACGGATCAAAACGTCGTGACTTTGTCAACGTTCTATCCAGCTGCGTCGAAAGGGAGTCAAACGTATATCGCGGCGGGTGCTGGGCATGCTATTGCCGCCCACAAGAGCGGGCCGGAGAGTTTCCAGAAGATGATCCAATTCTTAGAGACAAGCAGCCTGTAATTACTCCGACAGTAATGGTAAAAGCTTTGTTCTTTTAATATTAAGCAGGGTGAATACATAGTAATATTATTTAGCACATGAGTTAGGTAATTGCTAAAATGAGACTTATATAACTCCAAATTTAAAGTCTTTGGATGTAAAAAATGGAACATACCTAATTTGAGATAAGAGCTTCCCAGGCGTGACAAGCTAGTCTCCTATAGGTTAGTATAGAAGGAATTCCTAAGAGATAAACTGTTATACTATGTTTATGTTAGTAAATAGACTAGGCTAGAATGATGGATACTATAGTAATCTGATAGTCGAAGCCTCGTAGTCAATTTTTGCACTGCTTGTAGGATAAGTTTTAAATGTAGAGCGGATTCTCTGGTCAAGAGTGCCGTTTAATATTGGGTTAATTGCAGTTTGGCAACATGGCTTCCAAACGTGTGCTGACCAAGGGGGTGGGGGCTTTTCTGAATGGCGAAAACTAAGAACCGTTCTCGAATTGCCTCCTATATGGCATTCTAGCATGCGAGTATAAAATACGATAGTCCACTATCATAAGCGCGGGACAGCGAGAATAGCCTCTTCTCCTGGCCAATTGTGTTTTGGCTCTTCACCTGTGCCTCTGAATAGTCCCTGAGAAACTTCCGAAAATGCCTGGCTATATGTGTGGTTTTATTTTACAAAGCCTTAGCCCTGATCCGACCTCAGGGGATGGATGGCTCTGCCTTGCAAAGAGTGCTGAACGATTCGCTGTGCCTAAACTGCTCTGGGAATCCATTACATATATACGCTCCCAAAACTCCAAGGGTAAATATGTGTAAGAAGACGATAATTAGGGTATAAACTTGGGTACTTGATACTTCTTGCATCATGAAGATCAATAATCTGCGTAGCAGATACTTACTTTCGGCCGACAGACTAGCCTTCACTAGAAATCTATGAATAGCATCTCTTTAAACAACTCCGCTAAGTAATTTCTAAATCTAGACAAGGGAGCTATTGCTATTGCAATAGGGAATACCTTCTTCTCTGGTTTAAAGGTGAGCGCGTCTATAACGGTGGCAGTGTTGATGGCGGGCTTCTTAGCGGGGGGTTGGTTAACTACATGTACCCAAAATGGTATCATGTGGCTAGAGGAGCGTTGTCTCTTATCACTCCATCGTAAGGAAGAGCGGTCTAATATGTCGGTCTAGTCTTTGGAGCGCTGTGCTATAGAGAACGAGAAGAGAACCAGCGCTTCCTATCCACGATTCCGACTCCGGCATACGTAAACACTCTTTAGTATTAAACGTTAGGGGGCCTAGAGTTAAGTTATTCTCCGGCAATACTAGTTAGTTGTTGTTAATAGGCAGCAGCCCTACGGACTTATGCTTAGACGTGTATAAAAAGAACAGCAGTAGTATCTGCTTTAGGTTGGATGATATATCTTATGGTTGCTTAAGGTTAAATGTAGCGTAATAGTTGATAAGATTATAGCGTAACTGGGGGGTTGGGTTAGCGGGATAATTGTCTGACAGTCCGAAGAATTTGGCAGCAGCCCCCAGCGACCAGAGACGCCCAATGCCACTAGGAGTAGTATATCTCTTGGTTGTGATGTGCATTACGGCTCTGATTCATAGACTTTAAGGTGATGTGTTGGTAGTGATGATGGTTTATAAACTGTTGTGTTATGTTATTCAACAGGACATCTAAATCCAGGCGTTCATTAAACTGTCATTCTTTGGAAAACAATAAGAAGCGACTGGCAGCACTTCCCATACATTGGTTTCCCATTCATGTTGAGCTTGGTGACTTGGAGGGTGATTGACAACTCGGACCTCCCTTTGCTGCCATTGACCACCATCCTTTCCTCTTGGAGATGTAATAAGAGAGCTCAAAGATCAATAGGTAATATTAGCGGAATTTCAGCTGCTGCGGCTGCAACCGCAAAACTATTGATCGGGTGCAGAAGAGCGGCAGAAGAGGTGGTGGCGCGGCTTATGGCGGGAAGCTGAGACTGGGGTCTGACATAAAGCGATTGGAAGAGAGCTCAGCTGAATTGGCGCTATGGATTGGAATGCAAGGGAAGAGGTGCACCCTGGGCACATCTGCCGCCAGAATGACAATAGACCCAGCTGCTTTCCGAGCGCCTCTTCAAGCTGTCTGTAGGCTCCGCCTCCGAAAAGCAGTCAGCCAATGGCTTTACAAACCATTCGTGGCAGGGTCGCACTCCAGAACGATCCAGACGGTTGTGATCAAATCAATAGTGTAGAAAGCCCATCATAAGTCACTTTTACTACCAAAACTAGACAGATTGAATTCTAAAGTATTGGAGAATCTTATATTGAAGTAGAATATGGCTGGGAGCTGCGATATAAAAGTGTCCATAGTTCTCCCCCCACAGTTACCCATACTATTCTATAATTTAACAGACAATTATATTCAGAAAAACAATTGTACTCTTTGAAAAGTCTTGACCTTGGTACTATTACAATATTATTTCGTTAGTCATGGCACCATCACGTATAGACGATAGCTCTCCCAATGGAAGTGGCGAAGAATCTCCCCATCCTGTTCAAAAGTCAACACAGGGAGGATTCCCTGTTCCTGGTGTGCAGAATCCATCTGCCACATCTGTCATGGTTTAGGACTACTTTGTCAGGTTATTATCACTCTTTAGCCGTGTGCTCGGTTAACCAATACTAATGCAACTCTAGTGATAATACCTGGGAAAATATACTTTCCCATGGCAAGTTTGACTACATTGTGATTGGATCCGGTTTCACCGCACTTGCCTTCATTGATGAAGTCCTGAAGCATGATAAGAAGAAGCAAATTTTGTGCATTGAAAGAAGTGGTATGTATTACTAAATGCGTCTTGAAACGTTGCTGATACTGACTGCTAATAGACTTTTGGCTTCCAACCCACTTTCAAAACCTCCCTCTGCCATTTAAGACAGTGCTCGGAGGCCCGTCGGAAACCTACCCTTGGACACTTTCTACAGAGACATTCAAGACGAAGGAACTTGGCTTTCTCCATGGATCATGCCCATTCTTCGGCGGGAGGAGCACCTTTTGGTCCTCCTACAGCCCACAACCTACTGAAGACTTGATGAGGGACTTCCCAAAGTCCATGATTGATGCGACCAAGAAGGATGGCTTCTGGAGTGCTGCTGAGAAGTTGCTTAACGTGATACCAGCGGACAAAATAAGAGACGGCATTTACTGTGAAATGCAGAATGCCATTGATGGCCTTCTCAAGAAGAGACTAGGTCAAATCCCCACTGCTGATTCTGTCGAGCCAGCTCCCTTGGCTGTTGGTCCTAAGTCGCGCACATCTACCCTGCGCTTCAACAAGTTTTCCGTTCCTGGCCCACTGGTTGCGCTGCACGAAAGTCAGCGCAAACTTGCCGAGAAGGGAGAAGGACGGCCATTAGAGCTAAGGATCAATTGTACCGTCACCGGACTGAAGGCTGATGAGGGAGGAGTCGTCCGAGCTATCGAAACCAATCGGGGTTTGCTCTCATGGACTGACGACAATACAAAAGTAGTTTTATGCGCTGGAGTAAGTTGCTTGAACACTGCCCCCATTATAGCCGTAAAAATCAAGATACTGACATTCATCACAGGCCGTTCCTAATGCCACATTACTTCTCAACTCATTCGAGGAGTGTCGCCCCTCAAATGGCAATGTTGGCAAACGCCTATCAGGTCATGTCCGGTCAAACATTACAGCACGTATTCCAGGTGAAGCTATCCATTGGGATGGGAAAAATTCACTCCAGCTTGCTTGCACATATCTTGCTAGAAAAGATCCGACCACACATCGCGAGTACCATATTGGGATTTCTGCAATTCATAGTCCCAATCCAGAGGCTGACGCCGAGGACGCAGGGCGAGAATGTCCTGACTATGCCGCAGCCGCCACGGATGAGCAACTCAAAGGGTCTGAGAAGCATATTGTGTTTGGTAAGCACGTACACTTACCTCTTGTTTGTTTGTTTGTTTGTTTATTTTATTATTAACGTCTACTAAGTAATCTAGTTACATAAGTCCTTATCTAGGTACTAAGACAGTAGGAGCCGCCGAGTTTAAATTAGGCGTTTGCTACGTTTTAATGTAATAAAGGAAAAGGGGATATATTAATCTATTTTACGTATCTGTTTCTATAGGGGGGGGGCCGTATAGGCTTATATCCTCCACTAGTTTCTGAAAGTCCTTATACCCTCCGTTACTAAGGAGGTATTAGATATAGGTAGTTCTAAAGCGTACCTCCCTCTCTAGTATATTAGGGAGGAAAGGGGCTACTATATAGTACTTTATAAAGTATTCTTATATTTTTAGTTTTTTACATTTATAGGTAGGCCTGGTGTTATATCTAAATCTTTTATAATATTTTATAAAGTCCTTATATTTAGACCTTTTAGCTAATAGCCTATGTAAGATCAGGCGTAGGAGATATAATTTAAGGGGTATAGAGAGGGCTTTATAAAGGCCCCATCTACCGGCCTTATAGGACTCTAGGTAATTACTTTCCTAGTTAGCGTCCTATATTTCCTTATATTTCTTTTTTACCTACCTTTTAATAAAGGTAATAGTAAAGTAGTTTTTTAAAAGGTAAGGGAGTTTTAAACTTTTTTTTACTAGTTAGTTAGCTTTTTTATTTCCTAGTATATTTTTATAGCCTAGGACCTAGGCTACCCTTATAATTACCTATGGGAGTAGTTTCTAAGTGATTTAGTATAGCCTTATGTAGGCTCCTTAGGATAAGGCGGGAGTTAGCCTTAGTATTCTATTTACTACTACTAAGTTATTTAAGAAAAGTAAAATCTCTTAGATATCTAGGTTTATAAAGGCGTATATCCTAGTTAACTTTATAGCTTTAAAGGTGCCTACTGCCTCGGCGTCGTAGACCTTTATATTAGCGAAGGGACTGTATATTATAGTTCTTTTAAAGTTATAGTATATAATGGCTCCTTAGCCTGTGTTGCCTTATTTATCCTATAAGCTATTTAAGTAAGTAAGGAGGGTGGACCTGAGGAGGCTGTTAAGTAGTTTTAGGTATTTTTCCACTGCCTTTAACTTCGGTAGGCCTCTGAAGTCCGGGCCTGCTTAGACTGCTCCGTTGTTTTTAGTGAAAAGGGAGGGTTAAACTGTTTTCCCTACTAGGGCTATAGTATATTATAGTTAAGTAAGGGAAACCCTAGGCGGGAGTTTTTTATTAATATATTTACTAACTAGGTGGTTTTTATTTAGGCCTGTAAAGCGAGCTGCTGTGCGGAGTTTAGTCTATACTACCTATACTAACGCTAGGGGGACTTCTAATTCTCTATATATAACGGAGAGGTTAGTTGTCTTTTATATAGGGACGACTGCTTTGGCTGCTGCTTTAAATAAGGGTTCTAGGATTGCAGTTAGTCCCGCTAAGCCTATTCCTACTTATTTATTTAGGTTTATTACGCTCTGTCTGCTTTTGCCAGGCTAAAACGCCTCTGTCCTATATAGGGCTATAGGGGCGACGTAGGCCTTGGCTGCTATAGCTACTGCATCTGGCGGGGATTCTTTTTATATTTTATTTAGGGATCTTAGGAAGTTAGCTACTTTAAGGGCTTTCCTCTTTATAATCCTAAGGTATTTTTTAAAGGAAAGCCGTAAGTCTAGGTATATCCCTAGCTAATAGACTAAGTCCTAGGGGGCTATAGTCTTTTCTCTAAAGTCTACTTTTTTATTATATATTTAGGTTCTGGTCCTGTAGAAGTATATAAGTTCGGCCTTATCTAGGTTAAAGGAGACTGTATTTCTATTACCCTAGTTTAAGGTATTTTTTAATTCCTACTGGAGCTTTTAGGCAGTTTCTTTAGTATTAGCCCTTACTGCTATAATACTAATATCATCTACATACCTAAAGCAGGTATTAGGGTTATTAAACCTTAGGCTAAAGAAGAAATAAAGTATAAAGATAATAGGGGAAATAAGGGACCCCTATAGGGCTTTATATTCCAGCTTTATCTCCAGGAAGGTAGTCCTATAGCCGTTTTAAATAAAAGCCTTATAGTTACTTATAAAGAAGTTGACCTATTTTATAAAGAGGGGGGGCTATTTTTATTCCCTAAGTTTATAAACTAGGCGGTTATATATAATAATATTAAATACGCTGGAGATATTAAGTATAAGGAAGGAGATAATAAGACCTTGGGCTAAGGTAACTTTAGTATTATATAGTAAGCAAGCAACTAAGTCTATTACAGACCTTTTTAAGAGAGCTCTAAAATATTATTTTAGTAATATTTTATATTTTATTACTAAAAGGGAAACTCTTTTAGCTAGGAGTCTTTTAAGGCCTTTACCTATATAGAAAAGCAGGGAGATAGGTTTATAGCCTTTATACGTAGTATACGCCTTTTTCAGCTTCCTAGGTTTAGGAATAATAGTAATCTCCGCGCTCTAGAAGGGGAGTAGGTAGTATTTTATTATTAAATATCTGCGGAAAAGGTTAGTTATATACTCGCTAATAGTAGGCTAGGTAAGCTATAAAAGGGCGACTAATATATTATCTACGCTAGGCGTAGTATTTCCTAACCTTATTATAGCTTTCTTAACCTTTAACTTTAATACTATTTAATCTTAGTAGATATTATTATTAATAGGAAAGTCCTCTTCCTATAGGTCTAAAATATTTTCCTCTGTTATTTTACACTTAAGAAGCTTATCTCTAAGGAAAGTCGCTTTCTTTATAAAGTTTAAAATACTTTTATCCCTATTTATTAAGGGGGGCGGTTAAAAGCAGTCTATTACCTTATACTACTTAGCCACTAATTAAATATTCCTAGTAGTACTAGCTTTTACTATAATCTCGTCTTAGTAGGCTTGTTTACTGCAGTGTATAAAGTCTCTGAGGGTTTTATAGACTCCTTTTTAAGTAGGGGAGCTATTTACTGCTTCTTTATAAGCTTTATAGGCTACTTTATACTTTTCCAACTACTATAGTACACTATGGCCGTTTTAGTGTCTGGTTTTGCCGGCCCCCTTTATAGCTTATTTAAAGAGGTTCTGTAGGGCCTTAGCGTATTCGTTAAGGTTAGTTTCTAATGGTATAGTTAGGTTAACCGTAGGGAGGGTTTAAGCAAAGGAGTATATAAATTAGCCGAAGTCTTCTTAGTATTTTAACGGAATGTATTTTTTCCCTGTCCCTGGGGTTATCTTAAGGGGCTTAGGCAGGTTTATAATTACTATATAGTAGTCTAACCCTATATTAAGGGAGTATTTAACCTTAGTTAACGTAGGGTAGTTTATAAAGACTAGGTTAATGTATTTTCCTAAGTATTAGGTAGGTGTGTTTATTAGAGCTGGGAGGAGATTGTGCTTTTCTGTTTATTCTGTGATTTTATTACCTACTGGATCTGCGCCCCTGCCTGGTTCCTAAAGTTAGTATAAGGCGTTAAAGTTGCCTGTAATAATTAAGCAGGGGGGGGGAGGGCCTTATTTAGTAAGGGTTTCTGTAGCTAAGTCTACTAAAGCCCTTTAGTAAACGTTAATAATAGTATAACTGTATACCTTTATTTAGTATATGTATTTATCCTTTAGGCCTAGGGGAGAGAGTTATTTACTAAGGAGGTTTAGGGAGATTTTAATAAATATAAGAACTAAGGGTTTAGTATCCCTTTAACTATTTAGGGGGTTATATATTTAATATCTAAGGTAATTTTTAGTTTACCTTTTATTTAATACTTTATTCTATTAGGTATAGGGTTCCTAGATTAGTATAATATTATAGCTACCTTCTTATGCTAGTAATAGGGTAATATCCTAATATAAACTGCTCCTCCTAACGTTAGCTTAGAAGATTTTAAGGCTAGTGTTTCTTCAGCGGCTGCAACAGGGCCTATCGTTTATAAGCTTACGTTAAAAAGTCTATTAGTTCTAGGGGGAGCGTTAAGTATATTTTTATCCCCTTTAGCCCCTATATCCTTCTCCTTACTATTTAGGCTAGCTATGTAAACTGCTGACCTAGCGGAGGAGGCTCTTTTATAAAGATCCTCTTTATTTAAGTTAACTTTAACTATAACCTTCTTAGCTAAGGCCTAAGGGAGGAAGGGTAGTACTAAGCTGGATATTAGTAAATATAGGCGGAGGCCTGTTTAGGTTCCTAGGTTAATTATTTTCTTAGTATTAAAAGTTAAGGCGGGGGTAGGTTTAGGTTTAGGTAGGTTAGCCTTATTATACTCCTACTAGCCTAGCTTCTAAATAGCCTAGAGTTAGGCTCTGGTTATTTATACTTTTTCTTTATTCTTAACGACTAGTCTAGTAGGGTACTTTAGGGAGTCCGCTGTATAAGGGCTGTTATAGTTAGTGTACTAGGGGGGGGATAGGTAGTTTACTATAGTATTATTATATCTGTATAATAGCTTACTATATTTAAGGTACCTCTTAGTCTTAGTATAATTCCAGGGGTTATAAAAACTAAGGTATTACTAGCATTAGGTAACCTAAGGCAGTTGGACCTAGACTTTAGCTAGGTAGGAGATATTAAAAAGTCTAAAGCTAGGTTTAATGTTTTCTTTAAAGGAGATAAAGTAGCTGTATATATTAAGGGATTCCTTAAAGGGGGCCTTACAGTAGGCCGCTGGTAGGCTTTTAGCCCCAGCCCTAACGTACGCCTCCTCGGGGATTAGTGCGTCTATAGTATAGGTTCTGCTTATATTTATATAGGTTTTTAATATACTACGTATAAGGAAGACCTTCTATATATATACTTCTTTAATTTTTAGGTTATTACTTTCTACGGCTAGCTTAAGGGTAATAATTTTATTTTTAGTATTTTAGTCTTTTGCCCAGAGGGTAAAGCCTAACCGGACTTTTTAAAAGTAGGTAATATTTTTAACGCTAAGTTTTATAAGGCTAATTAGTTCCTATTTAGCACCGATGGCTATTATCTTTCTTTAGTTATAGTCTAGTAGAACCTAGATAAAGATATAGTTATTAGGCTTCTAGTTGCCTAATATAGCTTTATCTTTATTTTATTTTCCGTTAGCGGGGGCTGGCCCTTTACTATTAAAAGCAGGATTCTTTTAAATATTATTATCCTTTTGCAGCTTTTTATTATAAGTAGTATTCTATAATACAACCTATACTTACGTAACCTTAGGGTCCTTTTAGCCTACTTTTCCAGTAGCCGCAGGAGCTTCTGTTATAGTAAGGTGCTTAAAGCTGTTTAATTTATCTCCCTTACTGTAATATATATTAGCTGACGCTATTTTAGTTAGTTAGGTAGTTCTTTCCTTACTACCTAATTTCTTAGGGTTTTTAGGCCTTCCCTTAGGGTTAATATAGGAGGTAATAAAGTTTTTAAGTATAGTATTTAGGTATAATTAAACTTATTCTACTACCGTTAAAGAAAGTTAGGATAAGTATTATACTAGGCAGGAGTTAATAGCTATAGCTATACTTAATACTACGTCTTATTTAGCCCATTATTATATATTAATTTTATTAATTTAGCTTATAATTTTATTTCTAATAAGGGATTTCCCCTTTTTACTTAGGTTAGTAGCTTCCTTTATACTACTAAAAATAAAGGCAATAAGGCCTTTTAATACTATTTACGCCGTAGTTATTATTACTGCTGCGCTTAGTTTTACCTTATTAAAGCTAGGTAAGGGTATTTTATTTATACCAAGGGCTTCTCTAAAGCGTCTCTTTTTCTTAGGGGTAAAGGGGAGGACCGTAGCCTCTCCTATTCTTAGGCCTAAGGGGGTTACCTCCTTCTAGGGTTGGAAGACTGTTGCAGGTCTGGGGGCGACGGGGTTCGTTCTATTTTAGTTATCCGAAGGTTTTGCAGATGTTTCTATCTCTCCAGAGTCCCCAGATGGGACCGTAAATGAAAAAATCGTAGTCGTTTTATCTAATAGCTAGTTAAACAGGTGGGAGTTTTTGGTAGTTAGGTACCTAAAAGGTAGGGTACCTGTAGATGTAGGAGGGAAGCTTGCACTTACCTCTTTAGTGGTTATACTAATATGAAATGACAGTCTGCTCGGGATTGGGTGAGCTGGACGAAGGCAATAAGAAGAATTGGGCCAAATTAAACAATACACATGATCCTGCATCCAATGTCACCGTGCAATATACAGTGAGCCCAAAAGATAAAAAGATGTGGGATACTATGGACACGGCAATCTACCAAACAATTGAAGCCCTTTCTGGCAATCAACCGAAAGCTATTGAGTATTGGGACGACAGAGCTAATAAATGGGTCGAAGAGAAACCCTCCACGGAATCGGTTCGTGCACCCGGAGTGGTACATGAGGCGAGCACGGCTTTTGTTGGACGCAAGCACCAAGGTGGTTCGCTGGACAGCTTCTACCGACCACATGGAATTGCTAATGTAGTGAGTACACCCATTAGTCCTTGTTACAGGCCTCAACTAGCAATGTACATTTAGTTTGTTACGGGTGGAGCGGTTTTCCCCACGTCAGGAAGTTGGAATCCGACAATGACAATGTGTGCGTATGCACAAGACCTTGCAAGAAAGCTTGTATGTAGTCCGCGCTTGATCCCACCATCTCAGGACTATGAGGATCCGAACTAGCCTCAACAATTGGATTTGAGTGATTAGGTTTGGTCGATATCAGTTGCCGCGTATGTAATTTCCCTAGTACTTCTTGTAAGCATCAAAAAAGACGGATAATACAAGCTCGAGTAGCCGAGGATTGGGTTCAAGTGCAAATGATTCATCATTCTTTTCAAGATTTTTGATGAAATTTATATATCTCAATAGCCTTCTACAGAATGGACCTTTTTGTCAATTTTTGAGCCTCGTTTCGATTTTCCCAAGTTTCTTCCCAATTTGTATCGCCGGGAGATCATGTGGTTTCATCACCGGAATATAAACAAGGAAAAAAAAGCAGTGGCAAAAGAGTCGCAATTATCGTCTAAACAATTGCGAACCAGACAGAAAAGCACTCCGAAGCCGTAGTAAACTCACACGAAAAAGCATATCAGAGTCAGCATAGTTTAACAAACAAAGGGAGTCTCACTGGGTCTATCAGATGACTTGAAAGGTTAGCGGAGGACGAAATAAAAGGAAAGGAAAAAGAAAAAAAGGAAATACGGAGCTCGGTGTCAGAAGTAATGAATATGGCTAGGAGCGAGTAGTGATGAGTATTTGGTGTTGCTTTCTTATTGTATGAACTACAAAGTCCCTCGCCCGTTAATATTGCTGATTGAATTAACTTAAGGCATCAGTCTCTCATAGGGAAACCTTATTCAGCACCCCAATTCTGCTATTCAGCATCCCATGTGGCGAATAATACTGAGTATTACTCAGTCAGGTACTAGGTGAATGCAGATATAGTAATAAATACTAAAAATATATAAATATAGTAGCAGCCACTAGACAAATGTAGATATAGCAGAAAACACCAGAGAACACACAGCTACAGTAGCAGACGCTTAGAGAACTAAGTATTTATTAGCTAACTAAGTGCTTATAGTATTACATAAATGGTTTTCCCCTTGTAAAACTCAAACTTCATGCAGTCTCTGGAGTGCTGGATAGCCAACTAGGGGTACCGAATAGCCACTCTCTCATCATAGGAGAGCTGTAAGCTTACAAAGGTGACTTCTTAATATCCATACTTAATCAGCTTGATGTATTGAGAGCGGCGAAGTTTTCAGGAAGTTAGCAATTGTTCATAATTAACTTAAGGCGTAAGAGAAAGTATAGAATGCATTCTTCAGAGTCAACCTGTTGACTTGGTGCGTTCTACAGCAAACCGTAAACAATTAAGACCTTCAAGTTGTGCTACCCATTCTCCCTTGGGATGAAATGTATGATCATCCAATTTGCTCCACATATGTCTCACGATCCCTGGCTGATGTCCTGATGGCTGTTTGTGTCGGGGTATCTTGACGGCCTTGTCAGGAAAATAAGCCATGGCAAGCCAAGTCCAATCCCATGGCGATCGGATACCTCCTAGCATATGATATGTAATGATTTCAATTGTCCAACCATTTCCCTTCCAATTTATGTCGATGCAATAGTCTGTCATGCATATAGGGCAGGAATTGACTGATTGAAGACGTTGGGCGAAGTGGTCTGGCTGAGAGCCAAGTATAACCTGCGTGGGAATCTGATGATGAGGGAACAACACTTCGGCTGTTAAATGACGACATAAAGAAAGTGATCCCGTTTTGATAACCGTTCTGAGTCCCTCAGAGTCTCGTAAAGGACCCAAAGTAATGGTTGATGATAACATCATTTGATCGTCGATAATTCGAGCTTCCCAGTCTCTAGAGCTTGTCCAGCAGCAGCTTGAATGTGTCAGTTGGTCACGATGCGCTAGTTTATCGACACAGACGCCGTGGGATGCGCCATAAAAATGCCGATTCATGACAACCCGGGCAAGGGGATAAGGAATACTGAGTGAAAAATGGTGAAACCAATTCATCATTCTACAGTGGTCTCCAATTTTGGTGTAGAAGTCCCTGCTCAAGTTTTGAGAATGATCAAACCAGCAGGCATACCATGGATGAAGTTTGACACAAAAATGGCAAAAATAATATTTGGCTGCATCCTTTTCTAAGAGAAGCAGGAACTCGGTTTGCTCCGAGGAAGACAGATTTAGAGACTTGGGGAAACAATAACGTTTGAGCGTTTGACAAGTCAAGGCAAAGCATAGGAGTGAAGGCTTGTCAAGTTTTTTTGTAATCATTAGGATGATTTCTGTGGGGATCGTAAGCCGGCCTAGAGGAGGAGGGCTTGGTTGGTTGGGAGGATTCGTCTGAGGAGAAGGTAGCTGTTCGAGAAGATGGGGTCGACGAGAAGAAGATCGCCCTAGATGAAGAAATCTGACTATCTGTTTCCAGATACCCATACTGTTATAATAGAGTAAGTCGAGACAATAAGAATGTAGTCTAATAGAGTTTATCAAGTTCAAGTTGAGCCGTAATCGGAGCCTGTCCAGTAATCTGTCGAGTAACTTGAGATTGGAGTTTTTCGTGAATGAGAAATATTATGTAAAAGTAGAAGTATTACTAAGAGAAAAAAAAAAGATAGAGCAACGACGTGGCTGTGTAGAGAATTATACCTATAAAAGTAATTAAAAGTTTAAAACGATGTAAGTTAACGATTCGAAGCCACAATACGGAGTATATAAAAGGAAAATGGAATATACTTTAACTTATACTTAAGGTTTAAGAAAAGGCTTCTGTGAGTGTCTCTCTAATTTATTTCTCTCTAGGCAATAATAGGTACACTAATTGCGAGAGTATTCTTCCCCCTGGTACCCGAGTTAAACAATAGACTAGGTACGCTGGGATTATACTACTTGCACGAGATAATCCATAGTAAAAGCCTCGGCCCCTCAGCGAATACATCAGGGAAAATTTAGAATGGTAGCGCCTGGATGTTATGACACAACATATGTAGACTTGAACACCGACCTGCAAGAATCAGCTACAGAAAATATAGATAGCTCCACACTGTAGGTCCAGACCATTTGAGCCCAAAATAATAATAACCTGCCAAGCGGGGACAGAAAAAGCAAGACCGCAAACTGGATACATACATACATTCAGTAATATAAGCACTCAAATAACTCGTAGAACATCTATTTAGCCAGCACTCGAACTTCATTATATAAATATAATAGCAGTTACTAGAAGCATGTAGATATAGCAGCAGTTACTAGAGAAATATAGATATAGTAGCTACTCCTTTTGTAGGCGTATGGTTCAACTCGTGGGTGACATGGGTGTTCGAAATCTTCCTGGTCTCGCTTTCTCTGTCCTCCGCTTGCCTGCTGACACATTCTTCATACCACCCTTTTCAGCTCTATGCCTATTCATCTCTTTCGCTACGCTATCGCTAGCCGACCCAAAGTCGTCAGCCCGTTTACTTTCTTCTTGAACGCCGACGCTCCCCGCTGGTACTAACAGCCCAAATGTTAGATTATCTGTGGGGCTGGTTTTTCTTGTTGCCTGGATCAGACATGGGACTATAGACATCTAGGGACATAAATAACAACTCTGGAAGAGCGATAAAGACATGATGCTCCAGCCCCTTCCTGTCCTAGAATGATCTTCAAGACCAACAGATGTTTGCCCCACTGCGATTTTCTTGGAATCTAAACGCAATATCCCTTTGCTGCGGAAGAGAGAGGTGGCTCCCAATAGGTAGTGAGGGGGGAGATGATATCATTCAAGAAGAAGTCTTATTAAATAAAGGATACAAAAGTAACTTCTTGGTGTACGCGACGAAGTGTTGCAGCCGCATAATATTGGGTGTCGGGTATTATTATGAGAGTTGGCGCAATCAGACATGGCACATATAGGTAGGGGCGTGTGGTACGAGGGGGGCTAATGACAGGTCCTGTTGTTTTTATCTCAAAACAGCGTGTGTTGCTTACAGCTAATGGTATTAAGTCTGAATACTGCTCGACATGACATGAGGTTAACAGTAATCGGGCCGTATCAAGCCCTAAAGGTTGGTAGATTGGTGCATAGGAACATACGATGCAGCGATGTCTTAAGCAAAATCTAGAGGTACAGGAGAGTACTTATGTTCTTACGTAGTATTTGTTTAGTTTTAATTAAAATACGTCGCTACGTGGCAAATCGTAAATGGCTCTCGCATCAGCTCTTGTGGTGTGGCTCATGTAGCTTACAGCCAATTAAAGACACTACTTGACTGCTATCGGTGAGAAGGCAAGTAATGTGGCAGCCTTGATGGTTCACGCATCGGAGCAATCAAAGCCGTTCATTTGCCTCGTGGCTACATCACAGTATATGTATATTGTCACGACCTGGCTCTTATGGTCGCGACAATGGGCCTACAGGGTAGTCGGTTTCGGATAAACAACGGACCGACCAACCAATCAGGAACGGATCATTGGATCATTACAATGATCCAACGATCCATGAACGGATCATCAGAACTATGAGATGATCCACGACAGGATCATCAACCTTTGCCAATGATCCAGCCCAGTCAACTGGGTATATAAGTTCACTTCATGTCACTCATTAGAATACTTAGATAGCCAGTTGTTATCACAGCGTTTACAATACAATCAGACTGGAACACAGACATCTATTCTTACTGTATTACTAGCTGGTGACCAGTTTGCCCGTCTACCGACCTGACCGCTCCGCCAACATAAACCATAGAACCACTCTAAGGTTTGTCCCTTGGAAACAGCTAACCTATAGTGCCTATAGGACCCGGTTCGTCACATATATACATTTCTCAGCCACCATAAGCATTCGAATGCCCCTTGCCACATTCATCAGGTCCTCATTTTTTTTTTGTTAAGATAAGCTTTGTTCAGTTATTCATCGGCCTCATTTTCTCTCCATTGGAATCAATAACATCCAGGATCAACAATTATGGATGACAATTCCCGAAAGCGCCCGCTGAGCTTGCAATGGCTCAGTGAAAACTCTGAACGCGTCGGTCAGAAACTGCGCGTAGGGTCGATTGATGTAAGTAATGCAACGTCCAATTTTTCGGGCCAAGGAATCCAACATACAGGCCAGGGGGATTTCAATGTTAGAGGCAGTGTTCATATCACAACGAATAACACCGCGCCAACTAGTGCGGCGGAAGAAGGCTGTCGGCGCGACCTTTTCATAACCGATCCGTCCGAGGATAGAACTGCTCTGAAACGCAAAAAGGGAAATCGCGCTACCGGCACCTGCGAGTGGATACTCGAGACGGACGAACTGACTGCTTGGCTTGGCCAGGAAAAGACAAGCAATGTCCTATGGCTCTACGGAAATCCTGGAACAGGAAAATCCACAATGGCTATATTTCTCACGGAACAACTTTCGACAGTTTTCTCAGCAACAGGGGGGAACACGCTTGCCTATTTTTTCTGCGACTCTAGCTTCGAAAAGCGGAAGACAGCTACGTCAGTCATTAGAGGACTTCTCTACCAACTCGTCCAGCAGCACCCGAAGCTTCTCGACTACATCTTACCAAAATATAATGAGCGTGGCAAAGGCTTGTTTCAATCGTTCGATGCTCTCTGGGCAATATTCATGGCCATTGCGATAGATCAGAAGACGGGCCAAAAATACTGTGTGATTGACGCGCTGGATGAATGTGATCGAGAATCGCAAAAAATCCTATTGCAACAGTTTCAAGAAACCTTCCATAGACAAGACGCCCCATCAAATGTTCGGATATTGGTCACAAGTCGACCATATTCTGAGATCTGCGAATACTTGGATGAATTCACAAATAAGGACTTAGCATCATTTCCCCAAGCAAAGAAAGATATTGATCAGTGCATCGAGGAAAGAGTCGCAGATCTTGTTAAGAAAAAACATTACACCGTTAAAGTTAAGGAGTAAGTCAGTAACATCCTCAGGGATAAAGCTGAAAGTACCTTCCTTTAGGTGGGCTTAGCATGCGAGGAGCTAAAGGAAATCCCCTCAAAGGACGCTGTCAAAGTCTTACAGGATATGCCCAAAGGGCTTTATTCGCTCTATAAGACACTCCTAGACACAGCTTAAGAGAAGTCTGGAACTGACATCCTCCGACATATGCTAAGCTTGGTTGCCGTATGTATGCGGCCATTAAGTGTATTAGAGCTTTCTGAAGCTTGCCAGTTATATAAAGAAGAAGTGGATATAGAGACCCGGGCTCAATTTACACGCGATCAAATTGCATCCTGCCGCCTAATGATCATTATTCTGGATAAAAAAGTGCTTTTACTACATCAGTCTGTAAAAGACTATTTAGTTGGAGCTAATTCGAACTATTTTATCAATGAACTCGAGGCACATGCAAATGTTGTTTATCGATGCGTGAATCTTCCAATGGAAACATACCACGGCAAAGAGCAGTCGAATATACCTTTCTTCAAATATGCAATTGAAAGATGGCCTGATCACGCGCGTATGGCAAAGTCAAGATTCGAAGTCAGAGATTCAGAAGCCGAGTTCTTTCAAGTCAATTCACAGAGCCGGGAGCACTGGCTCGAAGCATTATATGATCATTGGGATCGCAACGGTATTCCGGAGGATTACGACATCCCGGGAGATGACGAAGATCCAGAGATTTACAACATCCCCAGAAATATGTCTATTTTACATATAGCTGGACGGTGGGGAATTGCCTCTTTAGTGGATTATATTGCCAAACAGGTTCGTCAAGAGTCTAATACGAAGAAACTAATTTCATCTCTTGATTTGGATTGTGTTGATTCAGATAACGCAACACCGATCGAATTGGCCATCAAATGCGGGTCTGTGAGCGTTATTTCTAAATTACTTTCCTTGGGTGCAGAGGTCAACGAACGCTCGGTGACGGCTGCGGCGAAAGACTGGAAGCACGGCGAAGAAATAATAACATTACTCTTTAACCGATATGGAGACCAGATTCTTATTACCGAGGGTATTATTTAGGCTGCAGCAGGAAATCATAGTAACAAAGTAATGGCGTCGCTCCTTGAACGTCGAGGAGACCAGATTACCATCACGGAGGATACTATTAAGGCTGCAGCAAGAAATAGTAATAACGAAGTGATGGCGCTACTCCTTGACCGACGAGGAGACGAGATTACTATTACAGAAGATATTGTCAAGGCTGCAGCAAAAAATCATAGTAGTGACGTTATGGCACTACTCCTTGACCAGCGAGGGCATCAGATTACTATTACAGAGGATATTGTTAAAGCTGCAGCTAACAGTTATACAAAAGAAGTGATGGCGCTGCTCTTTGACCGGCGAGGAGACCAGATTGTTATTACAGAAGACATTGTGAAAG